TGCAATGGTGCTGACTCTCTCAAGTGAACTGTTACCTCACATTGCCCTAAGGAATTTTTGGATGAACTTTGAAATGCAATAAAATAAATAAACAAACAAATAAATAAATAAAGAGGTAATTGGCTAGCCTCTTTCTAGGGCAATTGGCCCCTGATATCAGAAGACCCTTATTAGGAAGACCCTGATATTGCCAAAACCCTTATTAGGAAGGGACTTGCTGGAAAAATTGGATGCAAAAATTTCTTTTGAACAAGTTAAAATGGAAATAACCTTTTGACAAAATGAGACAAACAGTCAAGTTTGGTTCACGGCACTCGATTACAAGAATGCCTTTATCTGCCTGCCAGAAACTTTTTGCCTTTGAATGGGAAAATGCTAATAGAGGACGAAAAACTCAGCCTACTTGGACAGTGTTACCATAGGGGTTCAAGAATAGCCCCACCATATTTCAGAAACAACTAGCCTGTGATCTTGAAGCTTGAAAGACCCCTTCGGGAAAAGGGGACACTGTTGAAATACGCAAATAATAGCTACTGAAGACAAAAAGTAATGTGTAGAATGGACCATTAGTTTACTAATTATTTTTTTTTGCACTAAAAAAAAACAGCCTCTGAACCCAGCCTCTTTCCTTAGTATCAGAGTTTCCAGATTACCCATTCATGATTGCATCAAGACCATGGACATGGCATCTTTGTCCGCTAGGGAGTTCACCTCACAGGATATGTGGTAACAAAAATCAGCCCAAAAGGTGGAAATCATCACCTTGATAAGAGCTTTTGAGCTGGCAAAAGGGAAAATAATTAACATTTGGACAGATTTGAAATATGCCTTTGGTGTGGTGCATGCACATGGGGCGATTTGGAAGGCGAGAGGACTTTTATCTTCCTCAATTAAACATGCAGAAGAGATACTGAAGTTACTCCAGGCAGTATACCTGCCTACTAAAGTTGCCTTTATGCACTGTAAAGGACATCAAGCAGGGGATACTGATATTCAAAGGGGATATGCATTGGCTGATGCAGGAGCCAAAGGGGTGACAGAACAGGCATTTGAGAGTCAAATTTTGGCACTAGTACCAAGAACAGAAAACTGCACGATGGCTTCCAGCTCCTCCTGTTTGTTACCCATGCTGCATGCATTAGTGTAGATGCACTTCAGTTGGGCCATTGCTTTCTCTTCCAGCCTTGCCATTGTTACCCCTAGACAAAAACACCACCTGTACTCCTGCTCCATCCACTAACCATCCCAGTCCCCTAAAGTTCTATTTGATAGTCTTCAGGCTTCTCTCTTCAGTGTCATCACTGCCAGCCTAGACTATTAAAAGAGGATAACAGTCAGAGAGGCAAACCAGGTTGGGAAGCTATCTGGCAATGTCCCTGACCCTGGCCCCAGGGAGGCAGCAGACCTCCCTACAGGTAGGGTCAGGCCGACAAATAGGACCCTCTGTTCCCCTGAGAAGGGAGTCACCCACAACAATCACCCTTCTTTCTGTCTTGGTGGAGGAAGTCCTGAGTTGACTTCCTCGCCCTAGGCATCCTCCTGGGTAGACTTTCTACCTCATCCTCACCCACCGGTCTCTCAAGCTCCAGGGCCTCAAACCTATTGTGTAAGGGCACCTGGGAAAGTGGGGCTGGTAGGAGGGGGCATCGCCTGCGATGTCGAGCAGGGACCTGTTTCCATTCCTCCTCAACTCCTAGGTCCCCTCCCTCTGCCTGACAGCAACAGGGCAGGGGTTCCACTCCCATTTGGAGTGTCTCACCCTGGTACCTGTCCTTCAGGCCCTGCAGGGAGTTGCTCCACAAGTCTGTCTCCTGCACACACTCCCTGATATACCTCAACCTCTCGACCTCCTCCTGGAGTTCTGCCACCAGGCAGACCAGGTCATCCACCTGCTCACACCTCACACACACTGTCTCTCTGCCCCCGCAGGTGGTAGCAACAGGCTCAGGCACTCCCTGCATCCAGAGACCTGAACTGCTGCATTTTTGAGCGGACAGTCAGTCTGGGTATGTACGGACTTCCTAGAGAGAGCACTGTGCCTGGTGGAGACCACTGCAGCTTAGGTAGTGGTAGACCGCCATTAGAGGAGTTGTTCGTAAGGGCGGGGGGGGAACGCTCTGCCCTTCCTGCTCGCCCTGCCTGCGCTAACTGCAGCGCCACTCCCTTCTGACGCGCCACGCCCTGTTTGCCCGCCCTGGTCGCTGGCGCTCCCTCGGGGCAGCTTTTGAACGGCCGGGGAGGGGGCGCTGAAAGCTCTGCCTACAACTCGTCAGCCTCCCTCACGAGGGCTGCTGGGTCCTGGCGGCTCCCTCAAGTGGGCTCAATGCCGGAAAAAATAGCCCTGCCTGTCTGATCCCCCTCTCCGCTGCAGAACACGTCTGCCCTGGAGCTGATCACCTCGGCAAGGCGATGTATATATGAATATGTATAGACGCATTGTGAAACTTCATGCATATGTAACTCTTTACTGCATATAACCATGGCAAGTTGCCTTGTAGTGTGTGCACGACTTTGGTGGGACTACCCCCGTGCTGCCCAGCACTGAATAAATATACTTACTTTACAGTCTTACCGATTGTCGAGTTTGTTTTCCACACGTCAGCCTGAAGTCAGATCTGTCAGAATTTCTCAGTTCCTCAGCACAATCTGTCTGCCTTTCTGGCATCTTTAGAAGTTGTGTGGCAATGTTCCTAGCCATGAGACAAAGCAGAGGAATGTCATGACTGGGACTTGCTGCCTATTGTTTTAGGTATTAACAGCCTTTGCAGCTTTTCTGGTGTTTTTGTGAAGCTCTAGCCTCCTGATGGTAAAGAACCCAGTGTAAAAACTACCAGGAGCCTTGATTTCACCCACGATTCTGAATAAATCAGTGTTAAATCCTCTGTTGTGCAGTTATCATGTTCCCACATGCACTTTTTGAAGATCTGTTGTCATTTGTGCATTCTGATTTGCTAAGCTTATTTTCTTGGTGCTTTACAAGTCAGTTACATTCTTGAGACTTCACTTGTGACATTTACATCTCTGGAGCTGAAGTCATGGTGTTTAGAGGCACTCCGTATTCATGCAATGCACTTAAAACTCCTGTTTCTGCATTCCCAAAGTGATACTGGACTTTCACAATCAACAAGGGACATTTCCTAGGACTCAAGTGAGAACCCACATAGAAAAAAAGAATTGCTGATGGTGTAAGCAATCTGCACTATTTGATCTTCATTAGGACACAGTGTGAGGAAAAACAATTTAGGGCATATTGATCACTGGGTAAATTACAATATCTGCCCTCAGGGAACTGACCTACTTTGGACTGTTTTTTCTATTGCAGTTTCCCCCCTGCTCCCAAAGTTAGCCATGTCCACAAGAACACTACAGCATTGCCTCCTTGTCTGAAAGCAAGCTGACATCTCCAGGAGTCAGTGCTGCCTCCACAAGCATTCTCAGACTGATGCAGATCCAGCCAGGACAGATCTAGCCAGGAGCCCTTGGCAGATTGTAAAGACAGGATAACCTGTGATGCCAGTTTAACCATTGCTTTTTTGGAGTGACTTACCAAGGGAAGCAGGTAGCTCTTACTGCTAGATTTTGTAACAAAGTATTGTAGCTGTTACCAAGCTCACAGCACAGGATACAGGGTGCTGTGTAGGAGGAGACTTCTCAGTACTAGCAGCTGTCATTTCTTCATCTTCACCTGCCCCATAGGGCAGAAACAACTGTGTCCCAGACTCTGCATAGACCTCTCCTGCCCTAGCAGATCAGAGACACCTGCTCATCCTTTTTCTCTCTCTTTCTCCTTCTGAAAAGCTGAAGAAAGAAACTATTCTCATTTCTCCCTGAGAACTGCGCACAACACTTGCCATGAATGATATACTTTTTTCCCGCTTTAAACAAAACCCAAATTTGAATTCAGGTGGTCAGATCACATTCCTTCTGATTTCTCTACAGGTTTTTTGTTTGTTTTTTGTTTTTTGTTTTTTTTTTTTTTCTAGACAGGGAAAGGAAAGTAAGACCTGCACTGCCCTTAAGAAAATTGTGTCTTGGGAACACAATCATAAACATCTATTGCATTTCTGGGCTGCAGTGGCCACACCCTGGTTGACTATGTGATTTTGAGGAACATGGGCCTGACAAAGAGTAAAGTCAGCACCCTGAAGTTACAAAGAGTGAACTTCAAGCTATTTAAAGCTATATTAAAGATGAAATCCCCTGGAACACTGTACTTAGGAACAAAGGAGCTGAACAGAGCTGCTAAAAACTCTGCTATAAACTTTGAAGGTTCTGTACATAGAGGTAACACGAGAGTCAGCCTTGAGACAGTTTGAACCTCGTAATGCTGACACAAATGAACAGAGAGCACAACAGAGAAACTGAAATCCTTCTCTTTATTACAATGAACAGGAACTGTAGGGGAGAAGAAAAAAAAAAAAAGGCAGGGAAAAAAGTCAGACATGCTCTTCCCACCAAACTTCACTTGGATATGCAGAGTTTTAACTCCAGGTCAGTCCTGGATTACATACATGTATAAATTGAAACCTGTGTTTGAAAGGTTGCAAAGTGACCCAACACTGCCTGGCAGGCAGAGCACTGGAGCATGAGTCAGGCACTGCAGCTTCTGACTGTGATCTTTGTTGACCTTGGGCTTTTCTTTTCCTCATGTCTCAGTTCCCCCATACACACAGTAAGTGCTGCTCTTTGTAAAGTGCCAGTAGCAGGAAGGAAGAGGGGAGCTGTCTCCGTTTAGCTAAATGTATGTTTTTGCTGGTTCATTTTATCTAGAAACACAGTACAGGAGGAGATATGTATCCAAAATTTGCAAAGGCCTGAGACAAGGCAGGCTGGGGCAGCCAGGCAAGGACTTTCCCCATCAGGCCTGTGGAAAGTTGTTTATCTGGGAAGAGCTCTGACGCAGAGTGGGGACCCAGGCAGTGGGCAAGCACAGAGGTGGAGCTTACACTGAGTTTTTTTATTAGGTATAAAAGGCCTAGATGGATCAATACTAACCACAGTGCCTGGGACATGGAGAAGGAAAGCTAAGTAGAGAGCAGAGAGTTGTGCCAGCAATGGGAAGTGTAGCCGCAGTCCTTCTTTTCCTGCTCAGCATAACAGTCACCATTTGCAATCCCCAGGACACCTGCCCAGGTAAGTGGGGCACAAATCCTACTGCTAATTGCCCTAAGGCAGGCTGTTATAGCTGAGCTGAGCTGGGGTGGGGATGGGGGGCAGGATTTGTTCCTTCTATGCATCTCTTTAATTCAGCTGCAAGCAGGAAGATGGGTGATGAAGTCTCAGTAGTGGCTTCACAAAGCTGCTGGCTCCAACCAAAAGGTTTAGCATCCTGCCCACTCTCTAGTGGGCTCTCCAGGAACAGGCTGCCCCATTCATAGTTTTCCACCCTCTTCTATGTTTTCCATCTGTGGAACCCTGGCTACTTGGGAACACTGCACAACACAGTTTTTGGTCTATATTCTCCAGAAAGACAATAGGCGTGATTTTAAACTGATCTGGTGTCAGGAAATCAGGCTAGATCTTTAGGATGTCTTTAAATCAGAATCTTTACTATCCACATACTCATCAGTGCCATTTACTTTTTGCTGTGTTACCCCACAGAGCACCTCACATCTTCTGTTTTATTAAGTTACAATGTATTTGTCATGCATGTAATGTCACATATCACAGCCTTCTTCCACTAAACTCCCCTGAAGCCAGAGAGATCCAGTGTCTAATTCTAATATGCAACAACCTCAATACCGTCTCTTAATACATATAATTATGCCAGACTCCGTTCCTCAGATAGGATATCACTTGCCTATCTTTGCCTTTTGCTCTGTTTCTGAAGCCCAAAGGGTTCAGTTTCCTCTCCAAGACATTTCAGAGTCATAATAATCTCCATGATGACTGTCTTCATTAATTCAGAGGTGAGAATAGTGGGACTAGGTGATGCTGACCGGCTGGCTGTTCTCCAAGGATGCCCAGGGATCCCAGGTGCCTCTGGCTCAAAGGGAGAACCAGGTCTCCCAGGAACAAAAGGTGAGATTCCAAAACCCAGCAATGAATGCTTTGATATTAGATTGCTTTGTTGTGGGGGGGAGGAGCTGTTGAAGGTCACCTCATACCCATAGGAGTCCTTCAAAGCCTCCCATGTCATAGTGGACTTGTAGGCAAAGTGAGTCACAACAGCAGAGGAAGCTGCTCCACTGGGGCAAAAGCCACAAACTGGCTCCAAGATGTACAAAGCTCACAGGAATTCATAAGTGAATTGTAAAATAAGACTGACATTGGCAGTACCTGTGTAGTACAGCTGTAGTAGAAGAAAGGGAGTGAGATATGTTGTAAAATATCATCCGATGAACAAAAAACATCTTCCTTGTTTCTGCAGAAGCTGAGGCCTAGCTGCCCAGGCTTCTGTGTCACCTCTCCTCTGGTCAGATTGCAATATGCACATATAAACTGAGTTTTTCCTTGTAGGAGAAATGGGAGCCCAGGGACTCCCTGGGAAAGCAGGACCACCTGGTACAAAAGGTAATGCATGACATACTCAGCTTCAATCTATAAACCCACTGAAGTCCGGGGCATACATAGGGAGACTGGATCTATAGAGATAAAATACCTGAGAGTTGGTCATACTCCAAGAAACAGCCCTGAAGTAGCATAGAGCAGGAAGATTTGGTACATGCATCTGGCATGGGATGGGTACTAGGAACAGTGTTGTAGGGTGGGACCACATCTCAGAGGAAGATACTACTCTTCTTTTTGAAGTCCCCCTTATCAGCCCCGTATAAGCAGACATCTCTCTACACAGCAGGCTGTGTAAGCAAGTTGGGAGACTCCTAGAGACTCCAGGATACATCCTGGTCCAGATATGAGACAAACCAACCAGAGGAGAAGCATTACTGGACCTTATGCTTACCAATGCAGATGAACAAATAAAAAAGATTAAGATTGGAGGCAATGTGGGCTGCAGTGACCACACCCTGGTTGACTGTGATCTCAAGGAATATGGTCTTGGCTAATAGCAAAGTCAGGACCCTGAACTTCCAAACAGCAAACTTCCAGCTATTTAAAGATCTAGTGGCTGAGATCCCCTTGAACACTGTCCTTAGGGACAAAGGAGCTGAACAGAGCTGGTAACTCTTTAAGGATGTTTTTCTTAGAGCACAAGAACTCTCCATCCTCCTGTGTAAGAAGGCATGCAGGGAGGGCAGGAAATGGGGATGGCTGAGCAAAGACCTTTTGGTCAAACTCAAGTGCAAGAAGTAAATGCACAGGAAGTGGAAGAACGGACATGTGGCTTAGGAAGAGTACAGCTTTGCTGTCTGGATGTGCAGGGATGGGATCAGGAAAGTCAAAGCAAGGATGGAACTGAGATTGGCAAAGATGCAAAGAATAACAGAAAGGGGTTCTATAAGTAGATTGCTCAGAAAAGAAAGGCCAGGGAGAGTGTTCCCCCTCTGATAAAAGAGAAGGGAGAACTGCTAACAACAGACATGGGGAAGGCTGAGGTACTCAACAACTTCTTCACTGGTGGTCAGGCTTTCCACATATCTCATTTCCCTGAACATGTAAATGAGGGCTGGGAGAACAAAGTCCCTCCCACTGTAAGTGAAGGGTAGGCTTGAAACCACCTGATGAAACAACAATTTCAAATCTATGGAGTCTGATGACATGCATCCCAAGGTCCTGAAGGAATTAGCTGATGTAGTTGCCAAGCCTCAGTCCATCATATTTGAAATATCATGGCAGTCAGGTGAAGTCCCTGGTGACTGGAAAAAGGGAAACATTACCCACATTTTCAAAAGGGTAGAAAGGAGGACCCAGGGATCTACAGACCAGTGAGACTCACCTCTGCATCTATCATGGAATGGATCCTCCTGGATGTTAAAGTACATGCAAGACAAAGAGGTAAACTGAGACAGCCAGCATGGATTCATGAAGGGCAAATCATACATCACCAATCTGGTGGCTTTTTGTGATGGAGTAACTGCATCAGCTGACAAGAGAAGACTGACTAATGTCATCTACTTGGACTTCTGTAAGGTCTTTGACACAATCCCACATGATATCCTGATCTACAAATTGGAGAGAGATGAAATTGAAAGGTGGACCATTCAGTGGATAAGGAATTGGTTTGAAGACCTCACCCGGAGAGTGGCTGTCAATGGTTCCATGTCTAGGTGGAGGTCAGTGACAAGCAGGATCCCTCAGAGATCTGTATTGGGACCAATGCTTTTCAATATCTTCATCAATGACATAGACAAGGAGATTGAGAGCATCCTCAGCAAGTTAGCAGATGACACCAAGCTGAGTGGTGCAGTCAATATGACAAAACGAAGGGAAGAAATCCAAAGGGACCTTGACAAGCTTGAGAAGTGGGCCCACGTGAACCTCATGAGGTTCAACAAGTCCAAGTGCAGGGTGCTGCACCTGGACCGGGGCAATTCCAGACATGAGTACAGACTAGGAGAAGAACTCATTGAGGGCAGCCCTACAGAGAAGGACTTGGGGATTCTGGTGGATCGAAAGCTTGACATGATGTAGCAATGTGCACTTGCAGCCCAGAAGGCCAACTGCATCCTGGGCAGGATCAAAGAGGAGTGGCCAGCAGGTTGAGGGAGGTGACTGTGCTCCTTTACCCTTGTGAGGCCCCACTTGGAATCCTACACCCAGGTCTGGGGGCCCAAGCACAAAAAGGATGTGGAGCTTTTAGAGCTGGTCCAGAGGAGGGCCACAAAGATGATCAAGGGGCTGGACCACCTCTCCTATGAAGACAGACTGAGAGATCTGAGGCTGTTCAGCCTACAGAAGGGAAGGTTCCAGGGTGACTTCATGGCAGGTTTTCAGTACTTAAAGGGGTCTTATAAAAAGGATGGAGAAGGACTCTTTACTGGGGTAGATAATTATAGGACTAGGGGGAATGGTCTTAAATTAAAATAGTATAGATTTAGATTAGACATTATGAGGAAATTCTTCACTGTAAAGGTAGTGAGGCATTGTAACTGGTTACCCAAAGAAGCTGTGGATTCCCCATCCCTGGAGGTGTTCAAGGCCAGGTTGGATGGGGCTATGAGCAACCTCGTATGGTGGGAGGTGTCCCTTATATAGGCAGGGGGTTGGAACCAGATGATCTTTGGGGTCCCTTACAACCCAAACCATTCTATGATTCTATGATTCCCTATTCTCCACGCCTGGAGTGGAGACAGCTGGCATACAGTGAAGCAAGGAGGGAATAGGGATTTCCTTGTAATGGGCTGACCTCCCTCCACAAAATGAGGAAGTCACTTATTTGATCTCTCTCTGTTCATAGACTCAAGCTGAGAACAGGGCTGCATAAGACAAGACTGTTGAGCCATGCATTAAGAAGCATTCATAGACATGGTGCAGAGTCAGGAAGCAAATCATGCCATTTCCAGCTCCCAGCACATGGCATCATCTAGGAACTGAGCATTGGCACACTGAACAGCTGGGAAAAGAGCCCTTTGCATGCTGAATATGTACATATTTCCCTGTCAGAAGCACCCAAGACATCAGCAGAACCCCACAGGAGGAGATTGAAACAGGACACATTGAAACACCAGCTATTGTCTGAAATCTCACAGATCACAAGCTTAGAACTGAAAACCAACAAAAACAACAAAAATCACTGAGACAGAGGCATGAATCCAGCAGAAGAAGAAGCAATTGTCCTGCTGTTCCTGAGAGATGCTGCTGATTTGAAGAGCAGGCAGGGCCTCACAGGCTGCCTTCAGCTGGGGCACTCACAAAGCACCATGGCTTTGCACCATTTACAACAGCCTCTCCTGTTCATTTGGGAAACACAGAGGGCCAGGAGCCACTACTTAGGGATTTGCAGTAATTCAGTCCCTTTGAGTCATCTGTGATGAGCATTTTTCTCTTGTCTCTTACAGGAGTGGCTGGAGATCCTGGCTTCCCAGGACCAAAAGGTAAATTGTGCTGAGATGAATTTATGATGAGAGTCTGTCTAGTTCAACTTCCACCCCATGCCATTCTAGAACAACACACCATGTGGGAGCAACTGTAGAAAAAAAAAAAAGTACCCCACAGGGTACTTGTTTTGGGCTATTTGACAATAGCTCTCCCCCATCATAGGGCCTGGCCTGCTGGAGCTCCCCATAGAGGTTCAGCCCCGGCTCCTGGTGATGTGAGCAGCCCCTCTCCCAAACTAGCCAGACAGCAACAGGGACTGCCACCAACTTGGGAGCCTGAAGCTGCTGTCCAGAATTGTCAACTACAGACACAGCAGGACTTTGCACACCCCAGCCCAAGGGACCAGACACATCTGGGCAGAACTCTGACCTTCCCCTGCTATGTCAAAAGGCAGAGACTCGGATGAAACTCAATTACTGTTAATGCCACAGAAACTTGTCTCTCTCCAGCGTTATTAATAGGGTAGAGAGTAAACAAGGAAATGTTTATATATATATATATATATATATATAATTGTTATTATTTTTTCTGTTGACATCATCCTGCATGCTAAGGCCACTGGCACATATGAGCTCTCTCTGCACCATGGCTTCTCTCACAAGTCTTTGGCTTGAAATAGGAGCCAAATGCTACTGAGTTGGTCACTAGTATAGTACATTTGCTCCAGCTGTCACAGCTGCTCCGGAAACACCCACTAAAGACCTCTGCCAGCAGTAACTGTTCCCCTTTTGGTGCTTCTGACCCTGCCTCCTTCCCTAGGTGTGTTTTGACTTCCTTTCCACACCCATCTACTACTGTTCTATGTGTCCCACCTAATACTCACTGGCACAAAATGTTTGCACCCCATTTGTCAGGCTGTCTTAGCAGCCAGCAGGTCTGACATAGACATGTATTGCATTACTCTTGTCATTTAGACTTCTTGACCCCTAATCAGGTGTCAAGGGAAAATATATCATACTGGGTCCAACAACCCAAGAGCAGCAAGGCTGCCACTCCCTGTCCCTGTGCCCAGGTCTAACTGGTAACCAGGCTGAAGTAGTTCCCAGTAGGCATGTACACGAAGAGGACATGTATACACTATATATTATATATATAAATACATACACATAAATACATAATATAAATATATATACACGTGTGCCTCTAAACAAATATACAAATATACATGTTCATCTTCACCAAGAGCCACTCAGAGCACTCACATGAGCACAGAGAGCACCAACAGCTTCATCCTGCTTGGATGAAGCTGTTGAAGCCACTGGCTGAGCAGGATAGTGGTCCACCGGTGAGAATTTTTCTGCGTAGATAAATAGGTACAAGGGGGATTCCTCCAGCAAGAGGATTCACTCAGTCTAACTAGCAGCTAGATCTCAGTCTCACCAGTTGCTGGCACAGAACCCTGAGGATGCAGCCTGACACCAAACCACACACACACATATGCAAAACTATTGGAGCACCCCAGCCCCACAGCCAACCCTCTGTGCTCTTGCCCCTGTAGACTCCCAGGTACCCTCACACCCACAGCAGCATGTTCAGACCCCCCTGGAGTCCAGACTATTTCACCAGCTTTACCTGGGTTGATCTTTGCTAGCCATCACACTCACTTGCACACCTGCACTTATGCCAGTTGCTGCCCCACAGACCTCTGACCCATGGTTTGGCTCCAGGTGCTGCACTCACACCCCATACACACATGGGCACACAGAATAGAGCTCTCACCCACTAGAAAGGTTTTTAATAAGATGACAGGGCAGACTGTGTTGATCAGGGCAGGGCACAGCCAAACAAGCATACTGACCAGCTATCTAAAATCAACCATTTTTATCCCCTTACCTTCTATTTTCCCTTTCTTCTTCCTTCCCAAATCACCTAAATCCCTCCATTTTCCCACCTTTGGTTCCTCCCCTGAACATCTCACAGTAATTCCTGTCCTCTTCCCCTGCACCCCATAATGTGTTGCACTCCCAGGCAGCCACCCCCTGTGCCTGCCAGGGAATCTGGAGAGTTGTTGCTATTGACTCAGGCTGCTGGGTGTCACAGGTGGACATGGGACTGAGGCTCTGTGGGGGCAGCCCTGGGAAGCAGCCAGAAAAGATACTTGGTTCTGTAATTACAGGAGCCTGTGGCTTGGGCTCCCACCTGCTTTTGTCCCTCTGTGCTCTTCTGGATTTGAGCAGATGGGCCTCTGATGGGCTGGGAACCAACCAGTACAGATCACTACAGATCACAGTTCTTCCTCCTGCCTTTGCTGCACCATGCCTCTTTGTGCATGCAGATGAGCTTATCAATTCACCTAACATCACAGCTCACACCAGTGCAGCAGGATTTGGCTTGAAAAGCAAACAATGTCAAGTTGTGGAAGAGTGAAGGACTGGGTGTGGAAGGCAGAGAGCAATTGATTATGTTGTTTGCCCAACAGGGACAAAAGGAGAGCCTGGGTTTCCAGAAACTTTGGGTGAGTTTCTTCCTTGTTCCTTCATCCCACTGTTGGCTTTGCAGAACATACTAGTGATAACAAGCAGTAAGGCAGAATCCCTGCATCGGAAGTCAGGACAGGGCAGCAACTAATTCAGAGTGACACTGAAGGACAGAGTAAGGAGATATTACTGTTTACCTATTTGCTTCTCTCAGCCACATGCAGCTTCTGCATGGCTATTTGTAAGCCACCCAGACCAGATTACATAGAACAGTCATGTCCTGTGAGTGCTTCTTAAATAATCTGCTCTCTGTGTGACCTGGAGAAGGTCTGTTTTGGTCCTTACAGCCACAGTATCCTGGTTTCCAAGATGAAGCCACTAAAAACACATGAAGTTCTGTCTAGACATCATGAAGGACTTTACAGTGCATGTGACAGAGCACTGGAACTGGTTGCCCAGTGGGGTTGTGGAGTCTCCTTCTTGGAGATCTTTAAAATCTGCTTGGATGTGGTCCTGGGCAAGCAGCTGTAGGTGGCCCTGCTTGAGCAGAGAGGTTGGATCAGATGGACCCAGAGGTGCCTTCCAGCCAGGGGAGGGGAGGGGAGGGAAGGGGAGGGGAGGGAAGGGGAGGGGAGGGGAGGGGAGGGGAGGGAAGGGAAGGGAAGGGAAGGGAAGGGAAGGGAAGGGAAGGGAAGGGAAGGGAAGGGAAGGGAAGGGAAGGGAAGGGAAGGGAAGGGAAGGGAAGGGAAGGGAAGGGAAGGGAAGGGAAGGGAAGGGAAGGGAAGGGAAGGGAAGGGAAGGGAAGGGAAGGGAAGGGAAGGGAAGGGAAGGGAAGGGAAGGGAAGGGAAGGGAAGGGAAGGGAAGGGAAGGGAAGGGAAGGGAAGGGAAGGGAAGGGAAGGGAAGGGAAGGGGGGAGGGGAGGGAGAGGGAGAGGGAGAGGGAGAGGGAGAGGGAGAGGGAGAGGGAGAGGGAGAGGGAGAGGGAGAGGGAGAGGGAGAGGGAGAGGGAGAGGGAGAGGGAGAGGGAGAGGGAGAGGGAGAGGGAGGTGAGCATCAGTAAATCTCCCTGAATTAGAACCAAAGCAGAGCTTCAGCCCACTCTGGCTGCCTTTGGATGCCATAAGAACAGAATCCCATGAAGAGGCTCAAACAGATTAGAGAGCTGCAGTAACACCTGAAATAGAGATTAGGATGCCATGCCTCACTGCCTCAAGCACTCTAATTCAGGTCTACATTTCCTGGGCATGTATATACATTTGACTAATAAGTAATAGGCCACGTTCAGGAGCAGACCTCCATTATGAAGAATACCCAGGCTCACAAGACAGCCTGGCACAGCTGTGTGCCCACACATCAGATGCTCATCATGCTCAGACACTTGTATCACCACTACCATGTCATGGAGCAGCTCTGGAGAGCAGAGGCAGGTCCTGCCTTCAAGAAGTGGACAGTGTCCCCCACCAGGGCAGTGATTCCTCTCACCCCCACACCATGCACTGACACAGCACTGGGTTCTGGGTAGAGCAGGGTTCTTCTTATCTGATATACTGAGGATGCTCAATGTAAATCTTCCCAGACTTTCTCCTGTGAAATAATACCACAAATGCAGCTGTAAACTAGGATCATAGAATCACATAATGGCTTGGGTTGGCAGGGACCTAAAGCCCTTCCAATTCCAACCCCTGCCATGGGCCAGACCTCTCCCACCAGCCCAGGCTGCTCAAAGCCCCATCCAGCCTGGCCTTGAGCACTTCCAGGGATGGGACATCCACTGCTTCTCTGGGCAGCCTGGGCCAGTGTCTCATCTCCCTCAGAGTAAAGAACTTCCATCAGTCCTTTGGCACCCATGAATATGAGTTGCTGTGGATTTGGTGGGGAAAAATATATATATACATAATATAGACGTATGTATTCAAAACTGTCCCCTGTTGAATTCACAGGAGATGAGCTGAAAGGTATTTTCTGCATTACAGGTAGGTGGGGTATTTTTTGTATGTCACAGCTCCTATGCTGCCAGCTACCCATACAACTTCAGTGCCCCACATTCCTGAGTCCAAACAAATTCCCAGATCTTGAGTTTGTCATCCCACTTGGAGCAGCTCCATCACCCAGATCTTTAGAAAGACCCCATGCAGATGAAAGGGGTCTGAGCCCATTAGACTATCTCTTACGAAGAGCCCATCAACCCTGTGACATATTGACTCACGGAGTAGCAGGATTTGTCTCCAAGTAGATGTGCACCAGAGTTCTGCAGTGCAAAGAGCCAGATGGGAGACTGAAGGCCCAAAGAAGCTAGTTCATAGCATGAGGCTGATGTGCTGTCCAGATGCTGTGAGCACATCATTATTCTCTCCACTTCAACTGTTTCTCTGATTTGCTCACAAGCCAGGAACTGCCAAGAGCTGCTGGATAAAGGGAAGATCCTGAGTGGATGGTATACTATCTACCCCCAAGGCTGCAATGCCACCACTGTCTTCTGTGATATGGACACAGATGGTGGAGGATGGATTGTAAGTAGGATGGGGGGAGGGAAGCTTTTATAACCCTACAATATTTTTTGTTAACACTCTAAATGATAGCACTAAAATAGCAACAAAAAGAAGAAAAGTATCAAAGACAGGAAAAACACATAATGAAGCCAAGTCAGAGAGGTGACAGCTGAAGTTCGTGTTAAACCTGGGTAAATCCATGTGAATACAGGGGATTCTCTTGGGAGAGATCTCTGGGAACAAACTGAGCACCACAAACTCTCTTCCATTCCTGCTTAAATCAGAAAATCCCTCCTCATTTCCAAGCATAGATGAAGCAAATTTGTGAGTCCCTGTTGGTTCAGTCCCCCCAGCTACCCTCTGGAGTGGCCCAATGCAATGGGAGAGTTTGCTGCAAAGGATTGTGCCACCTGTTCTCTGCAATGGAGCTTCTTTTAGTGAAGAATGACCTGACACGGGTGAGACTCTCATTTCCTGCAGGTTTTCCAGAGACGCTCGGATGGATCAGTGAATTTTTTGCGAGATTGGTATTCATACAAGCAAGGATTTGGCAACCAGCTAACAGAGTTCTGGCTGGGGAATGACAACATCCACTTCCTCACCTCTCTGGGTAAGGTCTGTCTCCTTCCCCAGGCTGGGGCTGTTAGAGTGCACTCACTGCACAACGCTAGGCCATTAAAGACTGAACTTCTTGCATCTCTCTTGGGCCCCAGCAGCTAATTTTAAACAGCATGCAGGCTCTTGCAGTCCATTGCACACAGGAAATTTTCCTCTAAAAAAGGTAAAACTACAAGTAAGAGAAGTGAATCAGCTGTCTGCATGACTTATCCTGGAGATAGGCCAACACATCTATTTACTAGTACTGTTTGTGATGACAATCATGTTCACAAACAGACTTGGACTCACAATTATAATGCAGGACAGATAGTTCTGCAGCAATTTGAAATATATAATAATCTCTCAAGTAGTGGTAGCTCCTCTTGAGTTATCTCAGGGCTCCTTAAACCCCTCACCCCTGAATTTCATTTGCATGCTCACCACCAGCCCAACAGAACTGCTGTCCACCTTCTCTTCTAGGAAACTGCGAACTCCGTATTGACCTGAGAGACTTTGAGAACAACTACTACTATGCCAAGTACGCTTCTTTCAGAATTTTAGGAGAGTCTGAGAAGTACAAACTAGTTCTAGGAGACTTCCTTGGTGGAAATGCTGGTAAGTTAGAAGCTTACTAGGAAAGACCATTTCCCAGAGCAATTCAAAAGCATTCAGTATTTACAGTACAGAGTGTTATCATGCACCATCCACATTTGGGGTCAATTTTTAAAAACTGTCTAAGGCACCCCAGGTGCACAGTGACCTCTGGGTGCAGGGAAGGAAAGGGACACCCATCACACACAGACGTGTGACCCAGAGCAGTAACTACAAGCCCTGCCACAAAGTTTTGCAGCAAATGCAGAATCTGGCTCTGAGCAGTGGGACACAGCGTTCCCACATCTTCACGGCAGCCAGGCCAAGTTCTGCTTTCAGTTTTAATAGAAGTAAATATTTACCATGAAGGCTTGGTATTTCTAGGTCTGGGGTGATACTCAATACTTTCAGCATCAGCACATCTTCTTAACTCCTGATGTGGTTTTTGTTTGTTTCTTTAAAAAGCAAACAAATCCTCTGCAAAATTCAATACCCTTCATGTAAGAATGGGTGAAACCAACATTTGAGATAGCAGTGCTCTGTTTATATGGCTTTGTACGCTGCAACTCTTTCTGACAGTCCAGATCTCAGTAAGTCAGCAGAGAATCCAAGTGGTATAAGAGTTGTGTAACTGCAAGCAGAATCTGGCCCATTTGCTCCACAGGCATAGATAAGTTCTCCATGTGTATCAGCAGTCCTAGTAGAGCTCAGGATACTCCTTTTCTCTATGACCAAGGAGGATACCTAGGTAAACAAGAGAACAGCATGATTTATAAAAACTGCCTTACAGTTTTTACAAAAAGGATGTAAACTGTTGGAGAGTGTCCAGAGGGTGACAAAGATGGTGAAGGGACTATAAGGGAAGACATATGAGGAGCAGCTGAGGTCACTTGGTCTGTTCAGCCTGGAAAAGAGGAGGCTGAGGGGAGACCTCATCGCGGTCTACAGCTTCCTCACAAGGGGGAGCGGAGAGGCAGGAGCCAACCTATTCTCTTTAATCACCAGTGATAGGACCCGTGGGAATGGTGCCAAGTTGAGGCATCAGAGGTTTAGGCTAGACATCAGGAAGAGGTTCTTCATAGACAGGATGGTCGCACACTGGAACAGGCTCCCCAGGGGAGTAGTCACTGCACCAAGCCTGTCAGAATTTAAGAAGCATTTGGACTGTGCACTTAGTCACATGGTCAAAAATTTTGGGTAGACCTGTGTGGTGCCAGGAGCTAGACTTGATGATCCTTATGGGTCCCTTCCACTTCAGGATATTCTATGATTCTATGATCCAGCAAGGCCCACTGATACCTTGCAATGATGCACAGAAACATTAAGTTCCCTTCTGCACTATTGGAGTAACTGTGAACTTGTACTCCCCTGCAGGAGACTCCTTATCATACCACAAGGACATGCCATTTTCAACAACAGACCAGGACAACGACATGAGCTCCTTTAATTGTGCCACAACCTATAAGGGAGCATGGTGGTACAATGACTGCCACTACTCTAACCTGAATGGGATGTACTGGCTGGGCGTTCATGGGAGCTATGCTGATGGTATAAACTGGAAGACCAGCAAAGAATACCACTACTCCCATAAGCAAACGGAAATGAAATTCAGGCCACTGTAACAGGGCAAGAGGATGTCTAACTGGTACCAACGCATGCCACTCAATAGCCAACAGAAGACAGAAAACATAATGTTATTTGAGGGCAAAATTGAACAAAGAATTATATTGTAACTTGTGGCTATAGCCCATAGCAGCTTTTAGAAAGCAGAAGCCCTCCAGATGCTGACTAAGCTTGAGCATCTTTTTTCTGAAAAATCATTGCCTTGATTTAAAGACCAAGTGATGGTAACGCTACTGCATCTCAGCAAAGCTCTCAGATGGTATTTCCTTCAGTGGCAAATACTGGTAATTTTCTCTCTAATCCATGTATATGAAGCCTTCAGTGGTTTTGCAGCCTCTTTTTCTGTTGGACTCAAGAGTGATCTGAAAGGACTGAATTCTCACACCCTCCCTTCAGGCCATGCTGGAGCTATGATGTAGACTGAAATGGAAAGGACTGAGCTTCCAGTACAGTGTTGTTAGCACTGTCACCTCCCTGCTTACCTTCCCATTGTCTCACACACCATGTACTCCAGGAACCACAGTGACATTGCCCACCAAAAGCCAGCTGCAGCCAGGCCCAGAGCCAGTTTCAGCCATTACCAAGGCACGTTTTCAGCATCTCATTCTTAAGCCACCATGGACCAAGAGCTGAATACAAGATTGTCTAGTAATGTGTGTAGTACTAAGACACTAAAATAGTCCCAAGTTAAACCTCACACAAGTGGCCAGCAGGGGCCAGTATCTTCCATTTCTTTTTCTTTCAAGTAGCATTTGAAAACAGGCTATCCACGGGCAGATGGAAACAGCTCATCCATAATTTGACTATTAGCAGAACAAGTTAAATAGAATGTCTTGTTCTTTGACTCCTACCCCTATAGATGATGAGTGAAAGGGGACCCTAGTGCTAAATTTGCACTGCAGGGACAAACCAGTCAGTGGAACCAGAGTATTTATTTGTGTTATGTTCCTAAAGGTCACAGGTTTATTGTGCAACTTAGTGCACAAATGTGTAGCAAGGTAATACTTACAACATTGGTAAGCCTTAAAACATTGAGTCCAAACCTTGTGAGTATGGGAAAAGTGAAGAGGCACCTCACTCAGCACATGGGTGACGTGCTGAGAAATAAATCTGAGGTTTTGCACATCCCTATACATTAGGTCCTGTCCCTGCTCACTCCTTTTTTTTTTAGGTACATGACAAAGTGCATGTCTGAGTAGAGAATGCACTAAATTTACCATAGTCACTTCCCTATCTCCAGGGACTCTGTTATGTTTTTCTCCTATTCCCAGTGATTTAAGTGTCCTCAGCAGGAGCAGGATCAACATCCTACAGCATCCAGTTCTGTCTGACCAGATCAGCCACCCATGTTGTTGTCCAGGAGCAGCCTCTCAGAAAAGCCCATAGCACTGCCACAGACAACACTGAGGACAAGCAGCTCCTTTGTGGAGACATGAACTGATGCTGACACCCCCTGTTTTAACCTAGCTAGAAGTGCTGAGTCCCCATTCATCGGTCCCCCAATACATTCTCCTCTTATTACACAGAAACCTTCAATATTTAAATTTCAGCTCTGAAAGACACACAGGTTAGTAGGTTTAAGAGCACTCCTAGAACAGTCTACCCAAGTCCATCTGGTTGGTTTTCCTACACCTTCACTCGGATTCAGAGGAAATATTCAGGTATTTATTTGGGGGGTGTTGGGTGAGGTAGTTGGTACCTGGCTGGAGCATGAGGTTCTCCTGCATCCCCTAAGCCAAGTTATGAGACTGCCAGCCTCCAAGGGCTCCACAGCAGCTTTTTCCAAGGAAGAACACAGCAGTTTTGTCATGTGCAAGTACTCAAAGATTTCACAGTTTGTAAGAATTAAAGTTGTGTTTTTGCAGTGGAAAATTCCACTAACCTTGCACTTTTGAATAGTGATTGTACAAGCATAACAGTGGCATAACAGTGGGGGGTATGTTAAGCAGATAAGGGGACAGTGGAAGGTCCCACTGTACCAAAATAAGCAGGATGACTAAGAAAAACAAGACAAGCAGTTGCAAAATCAGAAAAAGAAAATATAATAATAATAATCATGGGCCCCTCCAGTTATGAGAGAAGAAGAAATAAAGGGGAAAAAGGAGAAATTATAGGTTGGTCAAATAAAATTTTACATATATGGTATAGCAACAAGCTTCAAGTAGGTTGTGAACCTGTAGTACTCAGCCAATGAGGAAACAGGGAAGAAATCAAGCATCAGGTAATAGATGATATAAGGTTATGATACACTCCTGCTTGCAGGATGTCCACCATTGCAATCACAAATAGAATTGTTACTTCACTGAAATCCTCAACTGAGCCTGTGTAGATTCTGTGCAGATTCTCACAGTTTCTCACAAATTGGGGCTCATTTGGGATCCAGTCGCATTCTGGGGACACCTGTTACCACCACAGCAGGAAGGCATGCCCTGCTGATTTTAGTGGTCATGTGCATTGGTGACAGTGGTTCTGCAGAGAACCGATAAAGGAACCGAGACTGGTTAAGAATGTAGGATCAGTGAAGAACTAGGGAAGAAAGGAAGGTAGGCACTCCGGTTTCAAGAATTTACCTGGTAAACCAAGATAAGAAATTGCCCTGGGAGTCAGGTAGGACTCCTGTGTGAAGTGTGATTGAGACATACTTTAGTAGGAAGCAAGTGTGGAGTCCCGATCTGTGGTTCTGTAGCTCCACAAGAGGCGCAGTCAGAGATGGACGAAGCAAGAAGTAAAAGGGAGAAAGGAAGAGTCTTGGGAAAATTGGTGTACAATATCCCTTTCATGGTAAAGTGCTTGGCAGTATGCCAGAGAATCTACCAAACCCATAACTGTATGGTACCCTGTGTACAGTAAAGTGCTTGGCAGAGATAGAGGAATAAAACTTTCAGGCACAGGATGGAAGGGAGAGGAAGAGAGACAGAGGAATGGCAGGCAAGAAAACCTGTTTTGCAGCCTAAATCCTAGCAGGAACAGCCTTTGAGAAGATGTTTTAAGTGTGGCTGGGCCAGCCGCTTCAAATAGGAGTATCCAGAGTGGAAGAATGAGGTGAGATTGTTTGCTGTTATAAATTCAAAACAGGGGAATCGGGGCTTTTCAGAAAGCTAGTCCCACTGAGAGCCCCTGATAAATGTAAAGGGTTCAAGGGTTGAGATAAGGACAGCAAGATCATTCTACAATTATCGTCACAGGCAAAACAGACTTAGCATAGGAAGATTAATAAAATTTATTACCTATTGTTAATGGGCTGGAGCAGTAAGAAACAAATAAATAGACTGGGGGTACCTTCCGCCATTCACCCTACTCCACCTCCTCCCCACCCTGAGCAGTGCAGGGGGCGGTCATGAGTGAGGGCTACAGTCAGTCCATGGTGCTTCGTTTCTACCACCCCTTCACAGTCATTTTCTTCCCTGCTCTGGTGCCATCTTTCCTGGGCTGGTCCTCTGTGGACTTCTCCACAGGCAGCGGCTCTTCATGTCCATCCATCAGGAGTGGGCTGCTCTGTCTTGGGACCCTTCAGGAGCGGCAGATCCCCCTAGATCACCTGTTCCTGTGTGGGCTTTCCACAGGCTGCAATGTGGAGATCTGTTCCGCTGTGGTACACCATGGGCTGCAGGGGGGGCAGCCTGCTCCACTGTGCACCTCTCCACAGGTCACAGGGAAACTTAGCTCCAGTGCCTGGAGCACCTCAGACACCTGGTGACTGGTGTCTGCTCACCCAGAGGTTTCAAAGACCTTAAAATCTTAAGACATTAGATTCAGTTTATCGTGGTCAGTGTGTTCCTAGGAATGGCCTCAGAAGAGCAGGGTTATGTGGTCCATCCAGGCTGCAGATTGTTTCTCACAAGCTGTAACCCTAAAAGATGATAGACTTCACAGGACTGGGCTTTGGAAGGAAAGGTCTCCTTCCTACCAATGACTGGTCATGTGAGAATCTAATAAAACTGAGGTCCAGTGCCTCTATAGGGTTTGTGTTGGAATGCAGCAGACTTAGAGGTCCATCGCCTCCTGGCAAAGAGCTTGAGAGACAGCTGCATCTGAAGAGTAATTAGGGCTACTGAAACAGCATAAAAGCAGCTGCATCTGGGGAAAATAAATAATTTCACTGTGGTTTGGTCCTTTTGACTTATCATGGGATGCTAAGATGGAAAAGATGAATTCAACACTCTTTGCACTATGCTTGTGCTGCTGCTGTTACTTTGTTCTCACCTAACTGAAGCAAGGGGGTGATTTAAGAAGCCAACTGACCCTACCACAAACCAAGGGCACCAAGAGGCAGTGTGCTTGAAATACCACTTTTGTATAGCTGATAATGTTTAAATGACTTTTCACTAATGGTTTACAACATCAGCTATGCTGATAGAGCATAAAGATGTTCCTTGAGTTGTGTTTGGTATCTCTTGCTTGAAAACTTGTGGCATTTCAGCAGCACACTGCAGACCCAGAATGATGAAACACGGTAGCCAGGACTGATGTGGTAAAGAACCTCTAATCTTTCTTTATTTCCAAATAGCATTGAAAAACAGACACAATGAGGGACATGGAAATGCATGGCCCATAGGGTGCAGCATTGTCTGGTCCATGTTGCCAGCATCAGCAGAGCAAATGGCCAAGAGGCAGAGGAGGCAGCTCCTGATCAGGTCCTGATCAAGTCAAGCCTTCGAGACTCTCCACCTACCATTGGTGTTGCTTCAGTTGCCTGGACAAAGAGATATGAAATTCAACTAATTACCTGGACTTTGTCAGATTGGTGTGGAGAAGCCAGGCCCTCCAGTCCAAGCAAGGGGATCACAGCTGGAGGGCATTGAGGCTGGTTTCCTGTGCTTGTTTTTCCCTCTAGTTCTGACCAGTGATGAGAAACTCTTGGTCAACTAGATGCACCAAATTCTCAGACCACCTCTGTTCTCTGCAACCTCCAAATATCAGCTTTTGTCATCCACGCAGAACCTTAAGACTCAGTTCCAGAACCTTAAGTCTCAGTTCCACTTGCCCTTGCAGCAGGAACCAAAGGTCCCTCTAGCAAAGGCCTGATATCCTTTGGTCACCTAAGACTCAGCATGTGGCTGGATGTCCCAACCGTACGACACATGGCAAGCCTAGTAGAAACACATCTCTGAGTCCACCCTTGTGACTGCTCTTAAAATGCCATGTAGAGTTTGTTTCATCAGCCATACCTATACTAGAAGATAGAGCAGGCTTGTTCCCTTATCTGAGATTGCCATGACTCAGCCCAGCTGTCCAGACCACCAGCCTCCTTCTCTCTTCACAACAATCTGCACTTCCTGATGGCCCACTGGCAATGGTTCATGGTTCACACTAATTGTCACATTATGCCCAAGCAACTGGGAACAATGCTGGTGGTTTGACCTGCAGTGAGTGATAGTTTCAACCTTTCTGACTGTTGGGACACAATATAACTGTGTGAGCAATGGCAGAACAGCACCTACATCCATGCCATCTTTAGTCACCAGCACTGATAAAACAACTAATTCCAATGAAAATGGCGTTTTTGGCATTCTCTGGCATCACCCTCATTTATGGCCAGCTCAAAAGTATTGGTGCTTATTGCAGCTCATGCTGTCCTCTGTGCAGAAAATAACATTCCAATGGATCTGTAATACTTGTAGGTTTCTTACCTCCAAGCAGATAAATAAAACCAAAAGAACTCCCTTCATACTAGTGTTACCGAAGTACACACAAATCAAACAGCAAATTGTGAAACTGGGACAAGAAGCAAGTTTGGTCTGGCCTCAGTCTCTTCCTTTAGCCCTTTTGCATATATCAAGGGCAAAGGAAGGGCTAAGCTCCTTTGAAATCTTAAATGGATGACCCTATGGAATACAAAGAGGAATATCCATACAAGTAGGGGATGAAATCACAACCTCCTATATGGTGGTCTTAGGTAAACAGCTTAATGAAATTGGAAAGCATGTGAGTGGGACTCCGGGCAGAGGGTTAGATGGACCAGTGCACAATAGACGACCTGGCGATTATGTGTTTGTATAGTCTCTTGCAGAGAAGACCTTGGAACCTCAATGGGAAGGACTCTTCCAGGTCACAGGGATCAGAATCAAGCAGCAGAATGCCCGGATCCATCACATCAAAATGAAAAAGGCACCCAAGACCCCATGGAAGGTTACTCAGGTATGACCTGGAAGGTTACATTTCTCACAGTATTAATGGTATCATTGGTCAAGAAAACTGAACAGTGGATGCACAATACCTATGTGAATCTCACCCAGGCAGTGAGTGATAGTTTCAACCTTTCTGACTGTTGGGAGTCCCCAGTGCTGCCTAGAGGCAACCTAGAATTATGAATTGGACATTGACCTTTGCGCACCCAAGAAAGGGAACATATTGATTTGGCAAGGATGATCATGAACATCTAGGGTGGAGATATAAACTAATCCCATGCAAAAATATTAACATACACCAGATGCTTAAATGATAAAACCCCATGCATAGGTACAGGTCCACTTAGTTATTTAAGCCCAGGAACTTGACAACTGTATTATGGCAGAATATGTAGGAACTTCTAATCTTACTAAAATTAGAGATTATGGTGTAGGTGTCATAATATGTGCTGATAAAAAGGATACAAACTCAGGATCTCACAGCCTCAAGTCTCTCATGCAAATTTGCAAGCTACAAAAAGGATTCTATTGGCTATGTGGAGATGGGTGTGCTAGAAAACAAGCTTATCCTTAAATTGGAAGGGTCATTGTATCAGGGGCTATCTTAGGTCTTGAGGGGTATATTTACTGAACCACCTCCAGGAATAGCCTAGACCTTATGGAGAGAAACACATACTGTTTTGAATAACCCCCTCGTGATGAGACCCACGGGATTCCATAGTTTTGGAAGATGATTGATTCCATCCCTGGATTCCATTCCATTCTACTTCTCAAGGCTTTGCTCCTTGCTGCTGGCAGTATGAAGCTGGGAGGAAGATTTCTGATGAGTAGTTTTACTGTTGAGCAGGAGGTTTCTTCTGCACAGATGTCAACAGCATGATGGCAGCTCTGGGGAATGAGAAGTTCTCTGGAGGTGTGGTTGAGACAATAATTCTGGTGCCATTCAGTGCATTTTATGTCAGGTCCTGATCATAAGGAAATCCCTACGGAAAATGCACCACTCCTCCACAACATCTCTGTCCTGGCACACTACTGACACTCCCTTGTACAAGCACCACAACACAGAGATGTTGGGCCATATGTGACACCAAATTCTACTTCAAGAGCTTGAGATAAGACCCACATGTAGGTCTATAGCACTATGTGAGAGCACATCATTCCTCCCACAAGGCTGAAAGCTCCATTGGGTTATACACTATACAATTACTTTTTCATGGACAAACGAAGGATCCTTGCTCCAAGAGATTACAGTCTACAAGAAGAGAGCCACTGCTCCACCACTATACAGGCAATATGCCTATTTACATTCACAAAAATTTTGGTCTGAGTAGAACCTGTCTTTCATGATGATGGTGCAGCCATCAGATGATCTAGAGACACGAACTTGTCTGCTCAACTCTTTCTCTTAATTTGCAGTGCCAGACCATTTCTTGACATCATTCTTTCCATCTCTCTTTTGGATCTACAGACCTAGAAATCGTCCTCCAGCCCACTGAAGAAAACACAGAAGAAAGTATCAGAAGAAAATCCTTTAATGGCTGCATGAGCCCTGGGAGTCTAGGTTAGAACCTAGGTTAGAACCACAAGGGTGTCTAGCCGCTGGAGAGGCAATGGGATGCTCAACCAGGCAGAGGAATAGGTGACATACTGCATAATGCCAGACCCAATTCCCCCTGCTTTGGCCTCACAAGCTCTTGGCACTGTGCTTGTCGCCATGTATTTGCAGCAGGATGAGAGGTGGGGAGACAGACTCCCGAACACAGACTCCCATCTCTGAACCCAGACTGAGGACAGTGGGGAGAAATCCATACTGGTACAATACTGGGACAACTCTGACATGGCATGTGCCTGACAAAGCTTTTATGATAGGAGATATTAATCGGTTAATTCATATCTTGAGAAGGCACACCCTGCCCATTGCCTCAGCCTGGTGCAGTTCAGCACCCTGTGGATAGTCCCAGCACTCCAAAACTTTGCCTGATACTGATGAGTCCTGCGTACAATGTCAAGGAACCTAGTCAGAGATTTAGAATGTACCTGTCCTTGCAAGGCTACCAGAAGGGTGTTGTAAGGCTTTGGAATATAAGGCAACCCTGAGGCTCACTGAGTGTGCCGAAGCCCCATTCCTTCACACCATAAGGACCACAGCCTCCTTAGAGGATATTCCCCAAGGCCAGAGGGGGTATGGAAGGGGAAGACCCTGAGTCCAGGGGGCACATGGAGGCAGGAGAGAACTACATTTCTGTTGGGTATTTGGAAAGCATCTGCAAGGGAGTTCAGGTCCCTGACCTGTCCCTCCAGGATCATGTGCTTTTAACAAGCAAACGAACAAAGGCTGCTTGAGTCTGAATTATATCTGTTAAAAACCTACCTAAGAAATATATACCCTTGTTAAATCCCTTCTCCATTTTTAACCACTTTTTCCAACCCAGAAATTAGAGACAGAGACTATAATTAAATACCAGCACGTCACTTGGCTGTTCTCTTTCCCACCTTCCTTCTTCACTCCTGACCCTCCAAGACAGTTGATTTACAGTTCATGCAATACTCCACCAGGCCTCACAGGAGGCCCACAGCTCAGCCCAAACGCTGATTTTCCCTCCTAGGCTCCAGGCTCTCTGCAACATCCTCCAACTCATCCAGGATTTCGGAGAAAGATGGCCTCTTAAACGCTTCCACCTGGAACAAGAAGGGAGAGGCTGAAGATGACACCCTGGACAGGAAGTGGGTGCTGTGCAGCAGCTCTCCTGGGTTCCCCATGTCTGAGCAATGACATTCATCCATCAACAGCGCTGGCCTGGGCCATGCAGCTGCCAGAAGAGCTTTTTCTGGCATTACTGCACAGTGATCCAGGCACAGACTGCTGCAAATGAGCAGCCATAAGACTGATCCCAAGGCACAGTACAGCACAAGCAAAGACAGCAAGATGATGAAGTCATGGTGTGTCAGGCCAGGTTTCAACAGGGTGCAGGAACTGTTCATCCCAAAGCCAACCTGAACAGTGCAGGGCCAGGGGTTGTGCAGGGGAAAGACTGGAGGTAGGTGTCAGGAGGAAGATGTCTCATTCCCTGGGCTTTTTCATAATAGTCAGAATCTGCTTTGTCTCCCTGACACAGGTCATTGTCAGTGGGCTGTGATCCCCAGTCCTCCTGGTGCCATTGGCGTGTCCTCAGAGTTGGGTTTTGTCCCTTTTCCTTTTGAAGGACAGAGAAGTCCAGGTCCCCCTCCTTCTCTTACAGGAGAGAGTATACCTCACACCCTGTTTGGAGAACCCACAGTTTCTTCCACAAATGCAAGGGCTGCCAAGGAGCACAGCCTGGGGCACTTGGGCACCTCCAGCCCAGGCCCCCACTGTGCCATCCTGAGGCTGCTCTTGTGCCTGGCCCTGGGGAAGCCAACCTGGGGAGCCACACTAGAACCTGCCCAAACCTGCACATTGCACAAAAGCAAAGAACAGCCCCAAGAGCCATTTCTGGCACAAGCCCATTACAAATCAATTTGCATTAGGAAACTGTCTGTCAGAGGTACAATATCTGAACACATACAAACCAAAGCAAATTGTTCATGTGAATTACTCCTCTGATCCAGGGCGAGTTATTCACATGTCCCTGGGACTCGTGCTAGAATTATTTCCATTTCCTGCCTTGAGTAACAAATTGAGTTGCATTGTGATCACCTAGTTTCTCCTGATTGTTTTTTTTTTTTTTCCTTCCTTTCAAAGTTAAACTTGAATCCTCTCTTTCTACTTTGAATCCTGAGGCAGCACAGGGAGGTCCCCCAGCTTTCACCTTTACTTTTTATGTCAAAGCAACAAAGGTTGGAAAAATGTGCTCTGATGATATCTGCAATGCTAGTAATGGTGAGGCGGTGCCTTCCAGAGAGAATCAGCTAGGTGCCTCTGCCTTCAGTCTAGCTAAGTGGGGATCAGACATCATCACCAACGTGCTTCCCACTTTGGGTTCGATATACAAGGGAACAGGCAGGACCCTGTGATGTTTTGGGCTGTAATACACAAACCAATCACTTCTCCTAAGTGTTTCTTAGGGCAAAACTATGCAATGGATGAAAGCATACTACTGCTCCAGGAAGATTAAGTGGCAGAGCCCTGTGCACTGGCACTGAAAGCATACTCTCACAGAGGTGTGATACAAACCCAAGAAAACCAAAGGGAAAAAAAAAATCTAGCAAGAATCTCACCCGACAGCAGCTAGCAGCAAGGTCCATCACCTGCCTGGGGCATTCACTGATCATCCCTTGGAAGGCAGCAACATCCAAGCCATAATCCTGTTGAGGAAGGGGTAGAGCATGGGTCAACAACCAGACAGGAAGAGGCTGAGTTGGCCATGACTACATGCAGTCACTTATGCAGCCTCCCCAGGAAAATGGGAAAAATAGGTCTCAAGCCCCTCTTTTACTCAAGATGTGTCCTATATATCCTTTGCTTATTAAGATGGGCCTTGTCTGGGTTTTACACTTTTCTTAGCTGCAAATGCCATCCTTCCACCTAAAAACCACCAGGATAAAAAGGGTTTTACAGTAAGAAGCAATGAAAAAGTAATCAATGCTTGAGCTATAAAGTCCTTTAAAGGGTCTTCACCCTTCTCAAGCTGTTAAAGCAAAAAATGTTCATAGATTAAAGCTGATTTAAAGATTAAAATGTTCATGGTTTCCATCACAGCTATTTTAACTATGACTATGCAAAGGTACCAGCTCTGCTGGGAGGGCACAGACGGTAAAAGAGACATTTAACTGGGAGAATGTTGCAACATCCTTCTGCTTGCTCTGTGCTTTCCCTGAAGTGCAATGCATCCTCCTGGAAAAGCTCAGAGTAAGGCAACAAGAACCACAAAGGTAGAAAACAGCACGTAGAGTAACCAGCACTGGGTGAGGTGCTGAGCAGCGGTTGCCAAGGAGAGAAACCGTAGATTATTTAGTCTTCCAATAGCAACTGATTGAGGGGATCCAGGCAGCTGTTTCCATACCTACAGCTTAGTCCTGTCAGACATCAGAGTCCCTGATACATAATTCTCTTTCATCTTGCAAATGGAGATGCAGTTTTAGTTACCATTCAGTCTTACAGAAACGTGGAATAATCTCTGGTCATTACAGGTTCTTTGCTTTTTGCCTGAAGACTGCTTGGAAAACAGCAATTTGCTATTTTCCTGATGGATTTTTCACCCTCGTTCTGGAAAAACCTACCCTTCTCACTTTGTGGAAAGGAATTGTTGCAAATACTGAAAAAAGGCCATATTTCTAGAGATGCCTGCTGTTTTTACATGAACTGTATATTAACCCTAATGTATCTGAAAATACAAATTCAAGGTAAAATTGTGTTCGACCTGCCACTTCAATACAGAAGCTGAAATGTCAAAGCCAAATGAATTATTGGAATTAAGATCTCTAAACAAAACTGTTGTATCTCATATTGCTGATGTAACAAAAATTTTCAAACTACAGATGATTCCACTTGTACACTGAACATTTTGTCACCAGATTTTCTCATGAAAAAAACTCTGAAGAGAAATCTGTGCATGCACATATGCATGTGTGTCAGGTCTGTAAAGTCCAGAAAGAAACCACAACCTGGTATCACATAGAAAACACTGTTAAATTTGGCTGCAAAAATCATTACCTGAGTCCTGGGAAGCACTTCGGGATCAGCTGGTATCCTGCCCAGGATTTCACAAAGGACAATACCAAAGGAAAACACATCTACCTGCAAGATGAGGAGAGGTAGGACCAGGCATACATAGAAGAAGCAAAGCATGCAAAAGGGAAGTACCGATGACTGGGTTCTTCCATTGATTCCCAAGAGCCCATCAAAGGTGTGTTGAAGATGAAGGCAGCAAATCAGTTGTTCTCAGGTGAACTTATGCTTCTGAACCCACCCAGAAACACCATAGCCTCACTTGGGGCTGAGCCTTATCTTTGGGAAACATGGACCCATACCACGCTTCAATGTGGTTGGTGCTTCTACCATAGCTCTGGCACCCACTGTAGATCCCACAACAGCTTCACTAGGCTGTAACTCTTCCAGCATATTCTTCAGAGAGGCTTCAGTGTGTTTGTCAACAGCAGTAATACATTTAACTAAGAGTTTAACTTAACAAGGCCACACATGCAACATCTAAGTTGCTATGCAGAACATTGTTGAACAAAGGTCCAGACAGCAGAGCAACATTTCCTAGGGAGGGTGGGAGGGAAAGGCTTTTCTGCTGTTGGAACATGTCTCCAGCAGACATCCCTCATTCTTTCTCAGGACTTCTGATGATGAACAAGGAGCTGATAAGTACTGCCATACCTTCTGGTCATAGGGCTCTCCCCGCAGCATCTCAGGAGCCATCCAGAAAGCAGAGCCCACCAGAGAAAGCTTCCTCTCCACATCCTTCACAGGCAGCTCCACCACCTCTCTGGCCAGCCCAAAGTCAGTCACCAGTGCCTCACGGCCCCGTGGTGTCACTCGAATGAGGCAGTTCTGAAAGGAGGCCATGGGGGGGTAAAACATGAGATGCCCAACAAGGAAAAGCCTGCACACTTCACTGTGTAGCACCTCACTGGTCCTCAGCCCCTGCCATTACTGGCTCTCCTCTCACTAGAGGCCTGCATCCTGGCAGCACATGTTGACTACATCTGAAGCCAGAAAAAGTCCTTTGAAGGAGCAGTTCCCTAGCCTGCGGCCATGGGAGACTTTTGGTTCACCATCCATCCCATGTCCAGAACTGTCAGGAGCCCTCACCATGCAACCCTGCTTGCTCATCACCACTGTGCCTCAGGCTGCCTCCTGATACAGCTTTCCAGAACTCAGTGCTGGCACTCCATCCTAACTAACCTGAACTGAGATTTGCAAAGTTACCTAATATGAACACAATGATCCACATCCTTTCATCTGAAAGAGACCAAGAAATGTGCACATCAGCTTTGTTCACTGTTCAGTCAAAGGCAGGCAGATCACAGTCACAGCCCTTCTCACTGTCCAGGGTTGTACATACCTAGCAGTGTTTTCTGGAGGAATTTCTACAAAATTATCTTACTGATTCTCAAAAACCACAGTGGCTTCAACCTGTTCAGTTCCCCAGGATTTCCTCTTGGCATCTGCTACCAAAGAGCTAGCAGAAACTATGAACATCTTCTCCAGATGGTTCTCACAGACAACGAGAAATCAAGTAAACATACATACACTTCTCTCCTGTATCTTCAGCCATCATCACAGCAGATTTCCCAGGTTTCTCCTGGAAAGCATGAACTTTTTTCAGGGCTGAACCTCCATAGTGAAACAGAAAGGACAGGCAGGAACCTTCAGCACTCACTAACTTTCCACAAGCATATCCCAAGCTCATCAGTTATCACCAAACAGAAAATTGCATCTCAACTGACTTCAGAGCACACATGCCAAGAAATCCATCATCAGAATGAAACAGACTCTTGCCCTGTCTTCCCATGTAGTTTGTGATTTCCTGGTTAGGAACTGAGCCAACCAAACAGCCTAAGATTACAAAGGCAAGCTTGGTTCCCGTACTGATGTCTTTCAAGACTGTAATGCTTGAATAGCTTCCACACTGCCGACCTTCATTAATATTTCATTTTTTCCTTAAAAAGCTGAGTCTTCTGCTTAACAAGCAATGAATGTAATGTAATTACAGGTTTTATCAATAAAACTTCCTTGCCTGCAAAGGGATTAGCATGAAGCAGAGGACCAAGAAGAAGCCTGAGTTCTCCAGGTTACAGCCCTAAGTGCCTCTGTAGGGTCCCCCAACATAGTTGCCCTTCAGGGGGGACATTCCCTTTCCAGCTGTGTACCTTGGAGTTGAGATCTCGATGGTAGATGTTCTTGCAGTGCAGATAGACCATGCCTCTGGTAATGTCAGAAGCTAAGTCCACTTTCTCCTTCCACGTCAAAGTGATGTCTTTGCTGGCCAGAAGGTCTTCCAGGCAGCCCCCATTCACGTACTGTGAACAGAGACAAAAAGCAGGCACCCACGCAGCTGGACACAGGCTCTCCTGGTGCTGAGCTCTCCCTCACCAACCCAGGAGCTCTCTACCTCGGCATGGAGATAATAAATGACACCACACACAAGGGTTCCTGTGCATGGTGTAGTGCTAATACCCCTCCTGACACAGCAAGACACTGATGGTCTCTGGGTACAGGCACTGCCCTGCTGCAGGGACTTCTGTATAAGCCAGCATGGCAATGCAACAGCAAAGTCAACCCTTGGCAAACAATTTTCCACACCTGCGCTGGGGACCTGTGCTGTGCCTTCATGACTTGTTGGCAATGGTGGGGGCCCCTTCCTGGGGTGCGATGCAACACCTTTCCTCTGCACACCACTGCTGAATGCCACTACATTATCTCCAAGTACCTGCTGCATCCAGCCACCTGCTGCCCCCTGCCCTGCCAGGCTCACCTAGCAGTCTCTTCTGTCCAGTGAGAAAATGCTCACACCAACCCCTGTACTGCTCCTCCCATTGCACCCAAGAGCACAGGGCCAAGGTGACCCTTCCACAGTCTTCACTCACATGCAGCAACCAAAAGGCCTTGCAGATGCTCAGTTAGTGCCTCAGGCTGCTAATGGTGCAGGAACAAGACACGGCCTCTCTGGTACCAGCTGAGGCTTTTCTATTAAGCCACACCATCATGTCAGAGCCACACTAAAGGTCCTGCCAGTTTGCATCTGCTCTACTCCTGTTCTCCAACCAGTGGCTCCTCCACTCTTTGGGGTGGTACTAGACCATCCTGAAACACTTTCTGGCTATCCTTCTTGAATCTCATGGTTCTGTAGTGACCGTGCCCCACTTCAGCCATGAGCAACTGGGGGGCAAAAAGAACCGTCTTACTAGTAGAGACTCACAGGCTCAAGTGTCGGAGAAGTACAGATTTGCATTATAGGATATCTGCCACCCTCCCTACCAAAGAACTACACAGTCCTTGACTGCCTATAGCATGCTTACAAGCAAGAAACTTTTACCTCCAGAATGGGGTACAGCTTGTCATCCTTCACACATATCCCAAGGTACCTAAGCAGGAGAAGAGACGAGACAAGAGAAAAACAAGCCATCAAGGTTCTGTTTATTCCCTTTCCACGGAACTGCTTTATAGACACTGACCAACTCCAGCCCCTGCCAGTGACACTAGTCATGGCCAGAGGATGCACCCACCTGACAACGTTAGGGTGGGACAGCTTCTGCAGCAGGCTGATCTCACGTACAATCACCTCTTGGTCCACGTTGTTCTTGTAGATCTTCACCACCATCACTTTACAAGCAGCAGCCTGGGTCACCTGGATCCAAGGTTGGAGCAGGACATCTGTTAGTTTACAGATGCCTTCTAGCCCCTCTGGACAACAGTATCCATTCCTAACCAAAGTCCTGAATCTCATTTCCCTGCTGCCCAGAACTTTGCACAATGATTTGCACAAGGGCAAGGTGCTGTCCCTCCCACACAAGCTCCCCACCAGTGATGTCTGACTTGGAGGCTGGAGACAACTAAATACCTCCTGTCACAACACAGCACTAAAAGTTTCTCAGTCAAAATTCAGGTAACTTTGGCTGGAGCAATTCCTCAGCCCACACTAAGTTACAGAAGGGCTGACCTTCTCCTCTCCAATGCCTTACACTCAATGGCCCATCCCAACCATAGCCTACCCACCTCCATCCCTCCTTCCTGCCTGGGTCTGGTCACTGTACAAGGTTGCTGTCACATTCTTCATCCCCACTGCTTTCTGAGCCCCACCAACACCTGGCTCCCCATCTAGACAGTCTCTGCTAGTCAGACACAATGAAGAAAGTGCAGAGCCAGCTCATGTCTCCCCAGCGCCCCTGGACAGAGGCCCTGAGTCTTCTTCCCATTCACATGCCTACCAGAACCTCTGCTGTGGATTACCAGACATATTACACTCCTAGGGCTTCCCTCTAGCAGGGATATGGGAAAGTAAAGAACAGAAAACAAAATGTTGTTCCTCAAACTTATAACACATAACAGACTGAGCAGGCATTTTTAAGAGGAAATTTGCTGTCCCCCATGACAGTATCATGGTTGGACAGTACTACATGCAGGGGTTTCATGCAGGCTGCAAGACATACAGGAGTCCCCCAACTTTCAGCACGGACAGGACCATCCAAGGTCCCTGCACTGCAACTCATGAAATCTGGGTTGAGGATACGAATAGCAGATTCCAGATTACATCACAAGGCATTGTGATACTTGAATATTTCAATCGTTAATCAAAGTCAGCTTTATGGAGACTCATATATCAGGTATGGCCCACACTGATGTCCTGACATTTGCCCCAGAATGAATAGGGAATCTGGTGATGTTTAACTTTCTCTCATCTTGAGGTTTAGGGTTTTTTTTTGTTTGCTTTCACGTCAAGATCGTTCAAACAGCATAAAATGGTTTCATAGCAGCAGTCTGAGACCCAAAGCATCACCCATTGCTCTCTGTGATGACTACTTTAAGGTTACCAGAACATGTGAAGAGAACAAAGAGCTACATGTAAGACCTAGCTAAGCTGAAAAAAGAGAAAGGTTGATTATAATCAGGATCACAAAACAAGTTGTCTTGGAAGAAATATGAACTGTTGCTTCTATTCTGAAAGAACACAACCTGACAGCCTGTGCTTATTGCTGGAATAAGCCTGCCTGTGTATTCCAGCAGGTCATAAGGAAACCAGGGCTTTAACAGCATCACCTGATGAGACATCATAACCACAATTAGTCGTTACTCGAGGGGGCCTCCAGTTACTGGGGATCGGACTTCAGGCAACACCCACCTCATGCACAAAGGCTGAACTGCTTGGTCATGACGGAGAGCCCCCTGAGCTGGCGTCTTCTCCCCATAATTCATTTTTAACTTCTTGCCTACTTCCTCTCTAGCAACAGCTGATTGCTGGCACAATAATTAGGGTAATTAGTCAATTTTATAGTGCTACCCATCACAGTTCAACAACAGACAGATCCTTGCTTTATTAGTCCATAACCCAGCCATAACCCTAGTCTTCTCTCAGCTTTACTGTTAGCTTAGAAAAAAAAACACTTAAGTGGAAATTTAGGAGATAACACTGGCTCTGCTCTGACAAATCAGATTTGTTCCCTATCACAATCCTGACTCTGAACCTGGAAACAAGCTTCTATGATAGAAAAGATTATTAAAATTTTCTTTGTATTGGACAGATCCCACTGAGCTTGGAGAGACTGTAGCACAAGAGACACTCCTAGGCTGATCAGAGGCTTGCTGGAGCACCTGCAGTCAGAAGGCCTCTTCCAAACTCGCAGGCCCTAAAACTATGCTGGCCAACCTGGAGCACCCCTTGGCCTGCTCTAAATCATACCCTGTCCAGTTCTGCCCTAGATCAGTGTGCAGAGAACCCTCCAAGGTATTCTCACTTCATGCTAAAAACTGATGAGGGTAAAGGCCTAGTGTCAGCCTCAAGCAGTGAAATAAAGGTGAAAATCTGGCAGTGGGAATTTGCAGACCATGCAACTGGGAGTGGAACCATACTTCCTAATGCTTGTGAAGCTTTTTGGGGGCCAAAAGAAGATGACATTATTCAGAGGTTCACCTTGGGCAATGCCTTAAACCAGTGCCTGAAAATATATCACTTCTCTCCTGCTTTTGAGCACCTCAGACCCTACACACCAGATAACTATCAATGAAAGGAGCTTCATGTCTTCCCTGAGCAAAACTTGCACTTGAATAGTTCCTTATTCCACATCAGAAAACTAAGACAGAAAAAGAGGGAAAGTACCTTGTACTCAGGTTACGCATTACATAATTCACTGAGCAGCAGGTCATGCCTTGGTCTGAGTCACCATGTGAAACCAAGTGAATCCTTGTTCCTCAGGACAAGGGATGGCACAAGCAACAGGCAGCCTTTCAGTGCAGGCATCACATACAGGGGAGTCTATGTCCATGTCATGGGAGTGCTTTGGAAGACAGCATCCGCATTGGCAAAGAGCTTCAAAGGACAATCACCAGTGATGCTTTATAGCAGGGGCACTGCTACTTAGGGCTATGATTCTACAGGACACTGGCTGACCTGAGAGGAATCAGTTACTTTTGTGCTCAAGTCCACAAACAAACATCAGCTTCCCTCAGTGCCAGGGAAGCTCATGGAGCAGATCCTCTTGAGAGTCATCACGCAGCACTTGCAGGGCAAGCAGGCAATCACAGGCCCAGTCAACATGGTTTATGAAAGGCAGATCCTGCTTGATGAACCTGATCTTCTATGACAAAGTGACGCGCTGGGTGGATGAGGGAAAGGCTGTGGATGTGGTCTACCTTGACTTCAGCAAGGCTTTTGACACCGTCTCCCACAGCATTCTCCTCAAGAAACTGGCTGCTCTTGACTTGGACTGGTGCATACTTCATTGGGTTAGAAACTGGCTGGATAGCTGGGCCCAAAGAGTCGTGGTGAATGGAGTCAAGTCCAGTTGGAGGCCAGTCACTAGTGGTGTTCCCCAGGGCTCGGTGCTGGGGCCGGTCCTCTTTAATATCTTCATCGATGATCTGGATGAGGGCATTGAGTGCACCCTCAGTAAGTTTGCAGCTATGCGCGTGTGTCGATCTGCTTGAGGGTAGGAAGGCTCTGCAGGAGGATCTGGATAGGCTGCACCGATGGGCTGAGGTCAACTGCATGAAGTTCAACAAGGCCAAGTGCCGGGTCCTGCACCTGGGGCGCAATAACCCCAAGCAGGCTGGGAGATGAGTGGTTGGAGAGCTGCCAGGCAGAGAAGGACCTGGGAGTGATGGTGGACAGTCGGCTGAATATGAGCCAGCAGTGTGCTCAGGTGACCAAGAAGGCCAACGGCATCCTGGCTTGCATAAGAAACAGTGTGACCAGCAGGGCTAGGGAGGTGATCGTCCCCCTGTACTCGGCTCTGGTGAGGCCGCACCTCGAGTACTGTGTTCAGTTTTGGACCCCTCGCTACAAGAAGGACATCGAGGTGCTCGAGCGGGTCCAGAGAAGGGCAACGAAGCTGGTGAGGGGCCTGGAGAACAAGTCCTATGAGGAGCGGCTGAGGGAGCTGCGCTTGTTCAGCCTGGAGAAGAGGAGGCTCAGGGGTGACCTTATCGCTCTTTACAGATACCTTAAAGGAGGCTGTAGCAAGGTGGGGGTTGGTCTGTTCTCCCACGTGCCTGGTGACAGGACAAGGGGGAATGGGCTTAAGTTGCGTCAGAGGAGTTTTAGGTTCGATGTTAGGAAGAACTTCTTTACCGAAAGGGTTGTTAGACACTGGAACAGGCTGCCCAGGGAAGTGGTGGAGTCACCATCCCTGGAAGTCTTTAAAAGACATTTAGATGTAGAGCTTAGGGATATGGTTTAGTGGGGACTGTTAGCGTTAGGTCAGAGGTTGGACTCGATGATTTTGAGGTCTCTTCCAACCTAGAAATTCAGTGATTCTATGATTCTGTGATCAGGTCCCTACAAAAGACTTGTGCTTGTACCAAGTCTTCCTCCACTGTCCTCTAACTATTTAACCCATACCATTGATGTTCGTTTTAACATTTCTTTTCCTTCTTCTGCTTCAGGAATTTATTCCATTTTCATTAAAGATCCATGCATCCAGCCCACCTATTGCTAGAATCTCAATTTACTGCTAGGGCAGAAGGAAAACATCACACACAGGAGACAGCAGTCCTTACTATGAAAATCTGCTAGATAAAGGAAAGAGAAAGTGATGGCAACAACATGCTGTGTAAGTGGGGAAATGAATTATTGGAGGGACGGCATGGTGAGGAGAGGTATTTGTCATGTATTGCTCCAGTCTGAAAACAGCTGCCATATACCCTTGGCTAGAGATACCCTTTGAACAACATTAGTGCACTATCACTGGACTTGAAGAGCACTCAGAGACCATAACACCAATCCCAAATGCAACAAAGGAGGAGACAGAGTTTTAAGAAAGCAATGTGCAATTATCTATCCAATTTGTGTGTTTTCTGCAGCTCCAAGGCCAGATCCTGCCAGTCTGGCTTCATTAGGTTCAACAGGCCACATTTGCTTGCGCCAACCAGGGATCTCACACAGTAATGTCAGAGTACTCCTCTGGCAGAAGTATCTTATGCTGGCCCAGAAGAAATATACATTCATGGTGTCCATCCTGCACCTCGTCAAGATAAGGAGCTAAAAGTGATGATGTAGCCAGGCCCAATTTGTTTCCACGGGGTCTGTGTCACACCCCAGTAATCAAGATCCATGTCAGCAGCCACATTCTAGAGTATACTAGAAGAGAGATCATAGAATCATAGAATCATAGAATATCCTGAGTTGGAAGGGACCCTTAAGGATCATCAAGTCCAACTCTTGACACCGCACAGGTCTACCCAAAAGTTCAGACCATGTGACTAAGTGCACAGTCCAATCTCTTCTTAAATTCAGTCAGGCTCGGTGCAGTGACCACTTCCCTGGGGAGCCTGTTCCAGTGTGCAACCACTCTCTCTGTGAAGAACCCCCTCCTGATGTCAAGCCTAAGCTTCCCCTGCCTCAGCTTAACCCCGTTCCCGTGGGTCCTGTCGCTGGTGTTAATGGAGAAAAGGTCTCCTGCCTCTCGACACCCCCTTACGAGGAAGTTGTAGACTGCGATGAGGTCTCCCCTCAGCCTCCTCTTCTCCAGGCTGAACAGGCCCAGTGCCCTCAGCCGTTCCTCGTACGTCTTCCCCTCCAGGCCTTTCACCATCTTCGTAGCCCTCCTCTGGACACTCTCCAACAGTTTCATGTCCTTTTTATACTGTGGTGCCCAGAACTGCACACAGTACTCCAGGTGAGGTCGCACCAGCGCAGAGTAGAGCGGGACAATCACCTCCCTCGACCTACTAGCGATGCCGTGCTTGATGCACCCCAGGACACGGTTGGCCCTCCTGGCTGCCAGGGCACACTGCTGCCTCATATTCAACTTGCTGTCTACCACAACCCCCAGATCCCTCTCTTCTAGGCTGCTCTCCAGCGTCTCATCGCCCAGTCTGTACGTGCAGCCAGGGTTTCCCCGTCCCAGGTGCAGGACCCGGCACTTGCTCTTATTGAACTTCATGCGGTTGGCGATCGCCCAGCTCTCCAACCTATCCAGATCCCTCTGCAAGGCCTTTCCACCCTCATTCGAGTCCACAACTCCTCCAAGTTTGGTGTCATCAGCAAACTTGCTCAAAATACCTTCTATTCCTACATCCAGATCGTTTATAAAAATATTGAAAAGTACCGGCCCTAAAATGGAGCCTTGAGGGACCCCACTGGTGACCGCCCGCCAGCCTGACGCAGCCCCATTCACCATAACCCTTTGGGCCCTGCCCGTTAGCCAATTGCTCACCCATCGTATGATGTTTTTATTTAGCTGTATGCTGGACATTTTGTCCAGTAGAATCCTATGGGAAACCGTGTCAAAAGCCTTGCTGAAGTCCAAAAAAATCATATCAGCTGGTTTCCCTTGGTCCACCATACGGGTGATCTTATCATAAAAGGAAATCAGGTTAGTTAGGCAGGACCTACCCTTCACAAACCCATGCTGGCTGGGACCAATGACTGCTTTGTCCCCCAGGTGCGCCTCGATACGTTCGAGAACCATCTTCTCCATGATTTTACCAGGCACTGACGTGAGACTGACAGGCCTGTAATTGCTAGGGTCTTCTTTCTGACCCTTCTTGAAAATCGGCACAACATTTGCCAGCTTCCAGTCTACCGGGACCTCTCCAGACTCCCAGGATCGTTGAAAAATAATTGAGAGAGGTTCCGCGATGACGTCCGCCAGCTCCTTCAGCACCTGGGGATGAATCCCATCCGGACCCATGGACTTGTAGGGATCCAGGTGGAGTAGCAAATCCCGCACACGTTCAGGGTCGGTTGGGAGTTTGTCATCCCCACCGTCCCGGTCCTCCAGCTCAGGGCACCCTGGGTCCCGAAGCCCATCATCGGCATTGTAGACAGAGGCAAAGAAGGCGTTAAGCGTCTCTGCTTTACCTATGTCATCGTCTGTGAGAAGACCTTCCCTATCAAGGAGCGGCCCTATGTATTCTTTAGTTCTCCTTTTTCCATTCACATATCTAAAAAAACCCTTTTTATTTTCTCTCACAGACACAGCCAGCCTCAACTCTAGGTGTGCTTTAGCCACACGAATTTTCTTCCTACAAACACGAACAGCATCCCTGTATTCTTTCCATGTCACCTGGCCCTCCTTCCAGTAGCGAAACACTCTCTGTTTCCGCCTAATCTCCATAAGAATGTTCCTGGTCAGCCACGCCGGCCTCCTGCCGCGCCTGCCTGACTTGCGATATTTAGGAATTGCCTGATCTTGTGCTTCTAGGAGGCATCGCTTAAAGAATGACCAGCACTGGTGGACATCAAGGCCTTCAAGAGCAGCTTCCCAGGGGACCTTGCTGACTAGTTCCCTGAGCAGCCTGAAGTCCGCCTTCCCCATATCTAGGGATGAGGTTTTGGTGGCACTTTTCCTTCTGTCACCGTAAATTTTGAACTCAACCACTTCATGGTCGCTATGACTGAGGCGGCCACCAATCACCACATCTCCCACCAGACCCTCTCTGTTTTCTAGCAACAGGTCTAGGAGGGCACCTTTCCTAGTTGGCTCCGTTAGCACCTGCACCAAGAAGTTATCATCTAGGTGCTTCATGAACCTCCTGGACTTGCTCGTGTCAGCCGTGTGGCACTCCCAGTTAACGTCTGGCAAGTTGAAGTCCCCCATAAGGACAAGGGGAGTTAATCTCGAGGCCTCTCTTAGTTCTGTAAAGAATAATATATCGGCGCTATCGTCCTGGCCAGGCGGTCTGTAATAGACTCCCACAACGACATCCCCTTTATTCGTTCGTCCCTTGATCCTTACCCAGAGGTAATATGAGCAAATCTGGCCACCTTGCAAAGCAGTCTCACTTCCTAGGTAGAGGTCCCCTTTTCATCTAGCTGTTCATAGAGAGAACAACGACAACTGAGGGTTGCAGGGAAAGAGCTCCACACCCCATCCCCTCACCCCAAATAAGCAATGGTGAGATGCTAAAGTATTCCTCAGCAGAGGAACAGCATTGGATAGGGAGCAAAGCTAGCAACACCCTGGATTCTGTGCTTACTAAGAGAGGGTTAAACTCCCACACCAGTGGAGCTTGATGTAGGGAGTGACTCAGAACAGCCCCAGTGAGAAAAAGCAGATTTACCTTGGTGATACACCATACACATCAGACATTGGCTTGCAAGGAGCCATAGATCTCCTGACATGAAGGCAGAAGAGGCAAAAGTGGACAAACCAGCAGCCTGTCCCACTCTGACTCTACTGTCACCTGCTCTTCTGCAGCATCACCAGTAACACAGAGCAGGAGCAAGAGAGGGGTCATGGCATTGGCATTTCCAGGGGGAGTGGGTGGCACATATTCTGGGAGACATACATAACTTGATTTCACGTTCTTTTTCTCAATGTATTTTGTCACAGTTTTGACAAAAAAAACTGCACAGAACATAAATATCCCCATAAGTCATCCAATACCCCTGTTTAGCTCCCTGACAAGCCTGTTGTATTGGTAGATGACAGTCAACAAACATTGCTTGATCAAGTCCTCCTGTCTCATTTTACACTATAGAAAAGAAGATGCATATCAAAGATGATGTGCTAGGTACGCAGAGTCCTCTCCTCCCTCACCTCAGCCAACCTGCCAGGGTGAGCCAGGAGGGATAAAGATGAGGAAACAAGCTGGGGGATGGTTCCTCAAGTGAGGCACCATCTGCACAGACTCAGCAGGTATTCAGGTGCTCTCCACAAGGACTGTGGGCTGCCTATACATCAGAGCAGCAGTCTTATGCTACGTTGGGTCAGTCCCAGCACTTTTACCTTGTAGACCTCGGAGAAGAAGCCACTACCTATAAGTTCAGTGTTGAAGTTTTCCCAGAACTCCAGCTTCCTGACAGCTGTGCGCAGCCTCTGCCAGCGGTCCATGTGGTAGTAGGTATCAGATGATTCGCCATAGTACTGCATGGGGTCGGAGGGCTCTGGGGTGATCAGCCCTGCCTTGCACATCATGGTGGCAGCAGCTGAAACACAGTGCATCTCACAGTGAGCCAAAAGCAGCATTTGTACATAAAATAAGTACCTGCACTAGAGACCAGAGCTGGATGAAGCCTCAAGAACAGAGCAGCAGTAAACAAGTCACTGTTGTGCCATGATGCACCTTGAAGTACACGTTGCAATGGGAAGCATCCATGGGCACTCTCCCTCTGATAGGGGCTTAGGCCTGCCGTATGCAGGTTGTTATTTGGACTTCTTTATACTAGCATTTAAAGATGTCAAATCAGCATATATTCACTTATCCTTTCCAAGGGTCTAGGATATCAGCATGCATCACCATATGATTGTGCAGCCCAAGAAAAATCTGGTGAATGCTATCTTACTCAGCCAGCTTACACTGGGTTAAAAGCTGCCATGTCAAAACTGGGCTTTTAACATAGGTCACATGAGACTTACTAATGAATGCAACTTTCATCATCCCAGACCTCTAGACAGGCCTTTGATTGAGCATGTTAGCACAAAACATGCAATCTTAAAAGGGTCCTTACTCAGCAGGTACCTTCTGTTTATTCCAAGACCTAAAGAATCAAACAAGGAAATGCCCCAACAACTCTTTTCCTATCTGTGTAACCCGAACCTGTCTCTAACCACCCAGCTCCCTCTACTAAATTATCTTGTTTTTCTACTGCTCTGATACTTAACTCTACAGCCCCCTCCCTCCATTCCCCTTTCTGTCTTTAACAGAACCAGGTTCAGACTCCTTCAAAGCCATATGCCATCCTTTCATTCCTCCTGCATCACTTGCCTCCAGTTATTTCCAAAGATGCAGGGGACACAAATCCAAAGGAAGTAGAAAAAGGGCTTCTGACACTGTCTGAGGTTTGAATAAGGTACATACTTCTAGATAATTTTTAACAGCCATTAGTCCACTACAATGTTGTCCTAGCATTTTCCACTCATAGCACATGCTCAGATTCCTGAGCCACTTTGCTAGGCTGTAACTGAGACAACAGTTGACAGAAAGGTGAATCTTCAAAGCCTCCACCTGAAGCAAAGATAAGCTCTGACCTCCCTAAGCTCCTGTCCTAGGTGCTACGCTGCAAAAGGAGCTGTATTAGCATCCCTTGATCTCATGGATTATTTCAGGGCTACTTCACTTCTACAGAGTGATGCAAAATCTGCAGAGACATGCATAAAATACTTGCACTAACCTCCACATCCATCCACAGTCCTGCAGTTGCTGCAGCCATGATTCAAGGAGAGCTGCCGAGTGGGGACAGACAGATGTGGTGTCAGAGCTAAGCTGGGGCAGGAGATCAGGAAGAGCTGAGTGTGGGCATGTAGCTGGTACTGAGCAGGGCAGAAATCCCTAGTACAAACAGCAGGCAAGCTCTGGGCTGAGACTCAGGGAACTGCACAGCAGGGGAACAGCAGCACAAAGTTCTGAAATCAGCCAAACCTGAAAGCTGCTGACACTGGACAGTCCCACACAGACTGCAAGAATCTAGTCCCACCAAAATCAAGACAACACATGGGCTCCTACTTTATTTCATAGCAAACACCTGTAGGACCAGGGCCCCAGAGCTGCCCATGAGCAGGAAATGTCTCATCGCCACCAACCAATGGGCATGAAGACTGCTGAGATCAGGCATTTAGTGTGAAAGAAGTCAGAGCACCCTGCTTTACGCCCACTCTGACTCAATGGCAGACAAGCCAGGAACCTCATATGATGGGATGATGCTGCAGGGACCTGCCTGGAGGTTTTTGTCTTGGGACAGTCACTGCTTCTGACTGGCAGCCCTGACAGACTCCTCCCGCACTGCCAGCACCCAGGCAGCATGCCGCACACCAGTGCAAGGGAAGGGGATCATTCTGAAACAAGGGAAAGAACCAACTTCACAAGTCAATCAGACTCACCATTGCTAAAAGACACCATACTCTGCCTGTCATTCAAGGCATTACCTTTCCACAGGAACAATTAACCCATCTCTCTCTCAGGTATGCAAAACAGCATGGCTTTGGCAGTGCTGAGGGCATGGCTGCAGCAGGGCAAGGCACCAGCATAAGGTGGTAGAAGGATACAGCAAGGTGCTGTTTTTCACTCAAGGTTGTGCTCAGCACGCAGAGCCACCAAGCTGAAGGGCAGACACTGGATATGCTTCCGGTCCGGGACAAGTGAGCAGTGTTTTACACTCAGACAGCAAGAAACAGAGGAGTTCCTTTACATTCTGCAGAATTGGCCAGGACATAAGTGGACACTGCCAAGCTGGATGGGTCCTAATGACCTCATGCTGCCAAAGAAACATGGAGAAGGAATGGCAAAGGGTTGCTCTGAAGAGCATGAGACCTTCCAGTCTCAAGGGTGCACCCTGAGGGTGCACCCAAACTCATGACAAAAGTTTGCTCTCTCTTGCTGTATGGATAGAGAAAGAGTCAATACAGCAAGCCACAGATTCACGAAGGAGCACCAGTCACTCACTAACAGAGCTGTAGTGAGTACCACACCCCCAGCTGCTGCTCTAGCCCCTGGAGACACAAACACTTAACCAGCAGGCTCCAAAAGCTTCTCCTTCCACTCTAGTAAAGAAATGGAAATTAGAGATTTTCCTCCATACAGCAGCACATGTACAGGTGCCTCTCTCCCCTCATCTCCTTAGAATCCTTCCTGCCTGCAGGGTGATCCAGCACAGGCACAAACAAGTCAAGCAAGCTCCTGGGGGACTGTCTCTTCCATGGGGAATGGCTTTCTTTTCAGAGGCCTCTCTGTTCAGTGCTTTTTCCACATACCATCTCTTCCTGCCATGACCTAGTTCATCAATTGCCCCTTTGTCCACAACAATCCCCACAACATCCTCAAAATGCTGAGAATGGGCCCTTGTATTATGTTAGTGAGTGGGAGCCAAGACTTCATTTTCTTTTTATAAATGTGGCTTTTTGTCCCCAGATTAGTGTTGACATGTAGGCTGGGGAAGAAAACAGCTTTTCAAAATGCAAAGATTTATTTCAAGGCTTCCTAGGAGCCAGGGAAGGAGGGGCAGAGGGTGGGAGAGGGATGTGGAGCACTAAGGTCTGTCTCAGAAGAAAAGCCTGCACCCACAGGCAGAGCATATCCTCATATCACCCATGAGGTTTGAAGCATCCAAAGCTGCACTTCTGTCTGAGTGAACAAAACACACGGGCAGCTTCCTGGAGCTCCCAGATTTTCCCTGCTGTAATTCAGTCTACGTGAGGAGAGCAGGCTTGGGTACAGGAGAAGACACCAAACCTACACACATTGCTACCAGCTGCCCTGGCCCTGTTGTGCCAGGCTCCCCTACCGCTTCAAAGGAGATGCTTGTCCCCTTCAAAGCTGTCCTGCCTGCAGAAAGAGGGGAGAGAGATGGAAAACATGGCGCCACTTCTACCACCTTCTGGAGAAAAAGATGCATATCCCCATGCCTTCAGCTGTGCCCACAGCAGGTGGGGAGCTTCATCTGTGTGTGGCACCTTCCAGCTCTGCAGGACTGTGAGACACAATGGCATCATGCCCACCGCAGCCAGGCATGTTACTCACAGGCAGACAGGAAAGTCTTGAAGGCTACATAAAAATGTCAGTGAAGAGAACTTGCTCCTTGACTGTTGCGAAGCACGGCCGAAAGCACGACAGACACCAGCAGAGTCAGATCATGCTTCACCATTTTATTGCCCGAATAGCCCAACTTTTATAGTGAATTTTACAGGGGTGGACAGTGTTTCACACAAGATTATTGGTCAAAAGCACCCAGACAAACCGTTAAGAAAATAACACCACCTGCAAGAAAAGAACCCCCCCTTTTGATTAGAAGTTAGGAAAACAACCCCCTTTGTGCTTAACGGTCACGTAGGCCTAGTCCTTGAGGCCAGCTGCTGATAACAATATTTTCTGAGTTCCTTAATTGGGTGATGTGGGAGTCATTGCTGTGGGAGCTTCTCACAGTTACTCTGGCAGCTTGGTTTGCTCAGCTACAGCAGGCCCTGAGATTTCTAAGGCCTACCCCTGGTTGCTTAAAGCAAGCTTAGATCAAACAATTATGCCAATTCCCAACACTTGACAGATTCACTTGAAATTAGCCGCCATTCTGAAAAGCAAACCTGAGTCTTCTTTTGGAGTTTTCCCACCTACAGGAACTGGAAAGACATAAGAAATCATAATAAAGCAGTGAAGAGAAACTGAAGGAAGGAAGTACCACATATGTTAAAGATCAAAAAACTGTTTCTGAAGTATTTGGACAAACAAGGTATATAAGTAGTAAAATCTAAAAAGGTGAGACATTCTCTTTTTTGTTCATTTTATTTAGAAAATCTCATAGCTAATTAACCTGTAAACCCTGAGTGGGTTTATAGAAGTGATTTAGGCCAGTCAGTCTCACCTCTGTCCCTGGAAAGGTGTTGGAACAGCATGTTCTGGATGCCATCTCCAAGCAACTGTAAGAGAAGGAAGGTTATGACGAGTAGTCAGCATGGATTCACCAAGGGGAAGTTGTCCTCGACCAACCTCGTTGCCTTCTATGATGGCATCACCAGCTGAGTAGGTGGGGGGAGAGCAGTGGATGTCATCTACCTTGACTTTAGCACAGCTTTTGATACTGTCTCCCATGACATCCTGCTAGCAAAGCTGCAAAAGTGTGGGATAGAGGAGTGGACAGTAAGGTGGGTTGAGAACTGGCTGACTGGCCGAACTCAGAGGGTGATGATTGGTGGCGCAGAGTCCAGCTGGAGGCCTGTGTGAAGCGGTGTTCCCCAGGAGTCAGTGCTGGGTCCGGTCTTGTTCAACATCTTCATTGACGACCTTGATGAGGGAATAATGTCCACCCTCAGCAAGTACGCCAACAATACAAAGCCGGGAGGAGTAGCTGACACACCAGAAGGCTGTGCTGCCATTCAGCAAGACCTGGACAGCCTGGAGAGCTGGGCAGGAAGAAACCAAATGAAGTTTACCAAGAGCAAGTGTAGAGTCCTGCACCTGGAAAGGAACAACCGCATGGATCAGTAGGGGCCGGGGAGACGACCTGCTGGAGAGGAGCTCTGCAGAGAAGGACCTGGGGATCCTGGTGGACAACAGGTTGACCGTGAGCCAGCAGTGTGCCCTTATGGCCAAGAAGGCCAAGGGGATCCTGGCATGCATTAAAGGGAGCGTGGCCAGCAGGTCAAGGGAGAAAATCCTCCCCCTCTACTCTGCCCTGGTCAGGTCTCACCTGGAGTACTGTGTCCAGTTCTGGGCTGCCCGGTACAAAAAAGACAGAAAAAATACAGGGACCTCCTGGAAAGAGTCCAGCAGAGGGCCACAAAGATAATAGGGGGGCTGGAACATCTTCCTTATGAGGAAAGGCTGAGAGACCTGGGTCTGTTGAGAAAACCTTGAGAAAAGAAGACTGAGAGGGGATCTCATCAGTGTGTATAAATACCTGAGGCGTGGGAGACAGAGGGATTTGGCCAACCTCTTTTCAGCAGTTTGTGGGGACAGGACAAGGGGTAATGGCCACAAGATACAGCACAGGAAGTTCCGCACCAACATGCGAAAGAACTTCTTCACGGTGAGGGTGACGGAGCACTGGAACAGGCTGCCCAGGGAGGTTGTGGAGTCTCCTTCCCTGGAGATATTCAAGGCCCGTCTGGATGCCTACCTGGGCAGGCTGCCCTAGGCAACCTGCTTTGGCAGGGGGGTTGGACCCAATGATCTCTTGAGGTCCTTTCCAAACCCTATAATTCTGTGATCTTCATGCTGTGGTGAAGGGCCCAGCTCCCTTGTAAGACTCAGGACTGCCTGTGAATGCTAACATGGCACCAGTTCATAGAGGCTGCAGCAGCTGCCATGGCCAGCAGAGAGGCATCAACCATCCCCATACACACACCCTGCAAAGGCAACCATGGGGCCAAAGGTGCTGCTCAGGCCCAACCACTACAGCGGGCTACAGCCTGGAAAAGGCCCAGGAGGACCAGATAGTCACAGGAGGTTTATGCCTGCAGTGCGGCAACAGAGCACTTAGGCTCCTGAGCCACCCACCTTTAGTGGGTTCAGGACCCAGCAGCCTGGCCCTCTGGGACACCATGCACAGCCAGCTCCATCCTGCCCCAAGCATCCAACTAGGCCCAAGACCTGCTGCAAAAATGTAAACCCCAGGATTCAAATCCCTTTTCTAGACATGTGATACTTATGGAGGAACTAAGTGTTAGAAATCCTGATCTGGATACAGTCTTGATCTCTAACAACTTCAAAACAAGATACAAGTTGTTCAGAAAGCAACCTAACCAAAAAGCACAACATTTCCAGATGAAAGGCTATGTCTGATACTATAAACGAGACAAGCTCTTAAGCTCTTCCGGCCTTAAAAAGAAGGATTTCTCAAGGATTTCTCCATTTTTAATGAAGATAATTATACTCCTTAACTTTAAACTTTAGCAAACAACATTTTTGAAGATAAGCAGAAAGGGAGTGGTTCCTCCAGCAACCTACTTGCTCCCCTCCCTGCAAAGACAAAGTGTACAGAGGAGAAGACAGGATGATCCTCTCCTCCAAGAAGCACTGAACTCCAGCTCCTGCACGTCTACACATACTGAACCAAGTCACACTTGACATGTTTTTCACAAAACTGATAGAGACTCATCAGGCTAGAATACAAAAAGATGTTTAGACAGCTAAGATACAGTTTGGCTTCCAGCAAGGTTAAGGATTCAGGCACCTCAAGTTCTCACCCCAGTGAGAACTTGGCTTTTTTGCACCAAATTTCTGGTTAGTTTTACTAAACTACTTGCAAAGGCTCCTGTATGGAGGTCTCTCCAGTTACACTTCCCATGCACACAAAATACCAAACTATCCACCTGATGGAAAATCTGTGGGTATTTTGAAGGAAGAAAAATAAGACAAGAGCAAAGGAAAAGACATGCTACAGGACAGCCAGCAGCAAAGGCTTTAAATTAGCTCGCCTTTCAAAATGGATGATGATTGACAAGGCATACTGTTTGAAAAAGAAAGGTGCAGAAGAGAGGGGGAAAAAAGTTATAACTCAACAATCACAAGCCTAATCCCACACAGTTACCATCTATTTCTGCTCCCTTTGCTACATTCTTTATGCATTTGCAATGAATTTTATTTTAGTTCTGAAGACTCATGGTATAAGATTCCCAACTGATGTTAAAAGGCACTTATATTACCAGCATATATAAAACATTTTCCCCCAATATCTAATTGACACTACACAAATTGAAAAACAAAGCAGGGCATGTGGGTGTTTAAAGAAAGCTCAGTATGTGGGAACCGTCAAGCATTTGAGCTAGCTAGAACATCCCCAACCCAGCCTCTTCATCAAGAAAAATGCATTAGCATGGAAAAAAGATACTGTGACCTTACTGCTAAAATGTTTCAGAGGCTGCATCTGCTTCCAAGCATGGATAAGAGCAATTACAGTAACTTGCCTCCTTTCACAGGCAGAGATGAGGGCTGGAGGCTGTGGAAGGGCCTGGAAAGGATGTGGGGACAGTATCGTCAACACACAAAGGGCTCCCTGCAATCCCAAACATGCTCTACAGCTGGTGAAAGCTAGACCCCTTATCTTTGGGGTATCCACAAGCAAATCTTAACCACTCAGTATGGCTCTTAAAAGCCAAGAGATTACATTTAGCTCAAGGATTGTTCTTGGTGCAGATGGCCAGAGTTCTAAACTGGAATAAAGGCTTGAACCTTTATTACTTCTATGCAGTACCGTTGGCTCCCCACATGTTGAATGAGCCTCTGTATCCATCTTTCATCAAATGCCAAATAGCAGTAACAGCACCTTACTGGTCTTGATCAACATTCTGGTATGTAAGGCAAACCTCCCATCAAGGAGAATTACTGTTGTCTGTTGTCATGGAGAAGACATCATTTCCTGCCCCATAGGTCCTCTACTGCACACTTTGCGTGTTTTCCCCAAGCATTTGCTACCTACTGTCTGCAAGATTGTACCAATGCTAGAGACAGCCATGTGCCAAGGTGTGGGTGCTCCAGAAGCTCACTACAGCAGTAATAAAATACTGTTTGTGCCAGGTATATGTTCAATAAGCAGCTGCAGTTGTACAAGCTCTTCGCCATCTGTTTCTGCACTCTAGGAAACAGGTGGGGAATAACTTGATTTTACATGTGGAAAACCATTAGCAAATGGCTCAGTCACAGAATTACTCAAGGCACCATTTTGGAGAGGGCCCAGTGAACCTACGAACCATACTCCAACAGTACCTTTGTACCTTAGAGATAAGGAATGAGCTGAGTGGAGCAGACAGCTAATGGGGACCCATTTCCTGTTGTCCTGGTTTCAGTTAGAACAGAATTAATTTTCTTCCTAGTAGCTGGTGGAATGCTGTGTTTTGGCTTAGGATGAGAAGAGTGCTGATAACACCCCAATGCTTTAATTGTTGCAGAGCAATGCTTATACTAAGCCAAGGACATCTCAGCCTTTTGCTCTGTCCTGCCAACGGGCAGGCTGGGGGTGCAGTAAGAGCTGGGAGGGGACAGACCCAGGACAGGTGACCCAAACTAGCCAAAGGGGTATTCCATACCATCTGACGTCATGCTAAACAATATATAGGGGTGGCTAGCCAGGGGGAGGGGGCCAGACTGCTCGGGGTTAGGCTGGGCATCGGTCAGCGAGTGGTGAGCAATTGCATTGTGCATCACTTGTTTGTACATATTATTATTATTTCCCTATTATCATCATTGTATTATTATTATTATTATTATTGTTATTATTTTCCTGTCTTATTAAACTGTCTTTATCTCAACTCACGGGCTTCACTTTCCATTTCTCTCCCCCGTCCCAGAGAGGGAGGGGGGAGGGTGAGCGAACGGCTGCGTGGTGTTTAACTGCCGGCCGGGTTAAACCACGACACCTGTTGACTGCTGTTCCTACAAACTAGAAGCAGGTGATGGAAAAAAGGTCCAATGGGTCCAACTCTGATGCTGGCTGCCATGTGGGATGGGGACAGCCTGCATTGACCACAAAACCCTGCTCTCCTGAGGCCATTCCTAGAAAAACACTGACCATGATAAACTGAATTTAAGGTCTTAAGATTTTAAGGTCTTTGAAACCTCTGGGTGAACAGATACCAGTCATCAGGTGTCTGAGGTGCTCCAGGCGCTGGAGCTAAGTTCCCCTATGACCTGTGGAGAGGCCCACAGTGGAGCAGGCTGTCCCCCTGCAACCCATGGTATTACCACAGCAGAGTAGATTTTCACAGTGCAGTCTATGGAGGAGCAGGTGGATCTGACCTGAAGGAGGCTGTGGCTTGTGGAGAACCCCCACTGGACCAGACTCTGGGCTGGACCTGTAGACCGTGGAGAGGAGCCCAAGCAGGAACAGGTGATATGGGGGGAGCTGCCACCCATGGCAGACCCATGCTGGAGCAGTTTGCTCCTGATGGATGGACCCTGTGGTATGGACCCATATTGGAGCAGTTCTTGTAGAGCTGTGGAAAGTCAACACAGAATCAGTTCCAGAAGGACGGCATCCTGTGGGAAGGACCCCACATTGGAGCAGGGGAAGACAGTAACCATGAAGGAGTGGGAGAAATGAAGTGCTATAGACTGACCACAGCCCCCATTCCCCAGCATCGCTCAGGGGGAGGAGGTGGAAGAGGGTGGGTGGAGGGAAGGTGTTTTTTGTGTTTTTTTTTTTTTTTTTTCCCTTTGTTTCTTAGCTCTAGCTTGTTAGTAATAGGTAATATTTTTTTTCTAATCTCCCTATGCTGAGTCTGTTTTACCTGTGACAATAGTTGTTGAGTGATCTCCCCATCCTTATTTCAACCCCTGAGCCCTATCCATTGTATTTTCTCCTTCTTCTCCTTTGGGCAGCGGGAGTGAGAGAGCAGAGGACCTCAGCTGCCCATGTGAGTAAAACCACCACAACTGCTGAATTCACTCCAGAACCTTTGCAGATGTGCCACCTCATCCCCATGTTGAGCAGGGCAGTGCAATAGGAAGGAGACAGTGGTGGGTCCCCAAGCAGGAGGCATCTTGGCAACAGACTTGAGTCCAGCAGGGGACACAGACCTGCTGGTACACCTGTTGTGGGACCCTGCTACGTCAGAGGGGTCATCCTGGGAAAAATTCTGCTTGTAAGCTTAAGAAGCCCCAGCACTTTTTTCCTCTTGCACAAT